GTAAAAATATTGACTTTATATTTCGCGTAAAAGTGTTTTACTTACATATGTACTACTCACGTTGTCTGCCTTAAAATTTTAAACATGTATACCTATAAGTACAAAGATACCAAGTATAAACCTACTATAGAGAACCATGCTTTCGATTTTTTTTGCCTATTTCGTCGTTAATTGCTTGTACGTTTGTCCTCTATCATATTTTGGGTTTTTATCTATGTATTACGTAATCCATTACATATGCTAAATATATTTTTCCACAATCAATAGATCAAAAGCCCGCCGGCTAAAGACGAGGCCGACCCAGGTGTTAACGAGTGCTTACGGCCTCACAGACCTATCTGACCTCACAGTAGCTTTCGTACAACTTTGGACATTAATCCTTAAATAAAAATAATCCAAACCTTCAACAAAAAACTGCTAATAAATTCCAATTATTAAAAATAAAGGCGAAAGCTTGTGTAAATGGATGTTAGCGTGGCGTTCATTTGATGGTAGCTGAAATACCCCAGCCATATAACATGTAAACAAGATGCGCTATCGACCTATTTTAGCTTTGGATATTCGGAAATCCACAAAATGAAACGAGATTAAACTTCCTGGCTTTTCATCTATGGACGGTGCTTCTCGGCCCGGACGGAATTTTTATGTTCCTCCACCCATTTAATAATACCCAGTTTTCCAGACGAAGTCCAACATGTCAAATTATAAATTGATTAGATAAATGATGGACCTGGTGGGGATCGAACCCATGGCCTGTCGATTATTAAATATAAGTTCCTTCCATTAGACAAACGAGGGCCGTCGAATATATTCGTTACTCTTTAACGCTGAAATAGACTGACCGATTGAAAATAAGTGGGTGTTTTTTTGACAGCCTGGTATAACATAGACTACTTTCAAGATATGTTATATAGAGTTAAAATTGACGAAGATAATTGAAATAGAATGTTTACTCGTCAACTAATTTTTGTTATTTTATGTACCTGTGGTGAAGGGGTGTTCAAGCGCGTACTGTGAAGTGTCGGTTTCATTTCGATTTGATTTTTTATAAGAAATAACTAGATTCCTCCTGAGGTTTGGAAGTGGGGGTTGTTATTACTCTTATGGCTCTGACTACGTTAAGCTATTGGTCCGACTTAGTGTTGGTAGAAGTTAAAACCCATTCGGGTTACATGTGAGGGTTTTGTGCGAGAAGAGATTTTAGCCCAATGGGACTTTAAAAGGTACTAATACATCTGATGAAGCATTTGTAGCACCGCATAGTAAGCAAGTAGTAGCAAGTATATGCTGTGTCGACGACTACGTCCGCGTAGAATAGTTAGTTTTGGGTATCAAAATTTGTTATTGCAAACTTCCTCTTAATCTCTAATTTTAAGTTGTTGCACACGACGTCGTCTGCGTCCCGTCGTTCTTGCAAGTTAATCTTAAAACATAAACATATACTAATGCGATCATTTTTTTACATCATATAAAGAGGAATCAGTCTCTTAAACATATTTTTGCGCTACTTGAATCGCTTTCTCAGCTTACGCATTAACCCCTAGAGATGACAAATTCTCCCCGTTTTTTTCCACATTTGCCGCCTTTTCTTCGCTCGTAATAGTCACAGCGCGATGTTTTATAGCCTATAGACTTCCTCGATAAATGTTCCACACAAAAAGATTTATTTGATTCGAACCCGTAGTTCGCTTTAGATTAGCGCGTTCAAACAAACAATCAAACTCTACAGATTTATATATTAGCATAGATGTTGTGGTTTCCATGTAAAATATATATTTAAAAACAGTTTTTTTATTACGTAACATATTTTACATGGTTTTACGTTTCGTTTACAGTTTATTTATATTAGTCTCCATGTAACAAGTATCAAAAAGTACAAAGCTAAAACCGCAAAAAATCGCAACCAGTCCTGCTTCAATACAGCCTTAAGTGTAGCAGTTACACTTGACCCACTTCATATGTTCACTTTCTGTATGTTATAGGACATTACTATTATTACATACTAGACGTTACCCGCGGCTTTATCTGTTTTATTAGGATTGTCGGAACTATTTCGACTCGTAAAAAGCACTGATTATTGGCGTTACAAGTACCGCTCTTGGAGGGACTATCTACATTACAAAGAAAACAGCACTTCAGATTATATATTTAGTGTTTGTAAGGACATTTATATTTAACTAATAACGCAGTAAATAGGAGCTGTTTACGAGAACTTGTAGCTATTCGTCTAGTATCTTTTGCAGCTTTAAAAATGACGTTGTATTCTATTTATATCTTCCATTGAAGTATATTGGTGATGACACTTTATTTTATAATATAGCAGCTAGCAGAAACTTAGAAGTAAATCTTGAAAATTTACCAAAATTTAAATCACACCGATTATTTGTTCATCACACATTTAACGTACAGACAAACTTCTCTTATAGTTTTATTATTCCAAAAAACATGGATTGAAAATATCAAGAAAATTGTAACATATATCTAGATAAAAAGCGATATAAACGATATAAGGTAAGGCTGCGATAGTAACCTTAAAACGCTATGTTTATTATATTCCAAAGCATTTCTAGAATAATATAAATAGTTACTAAATACTCTACTAATACATACGTATATAAACATAAATCAAGCACTTTTAACGGCTTAAAACGTGTAATAAAGGGTTGTAGTTGAAAATAAGTAAACTGAAATATTCTTCGTTTTATGCCATTAAATATTTAGTAAACTATAGACGATACCTATATACAATCGATTTTTGTTTTTAACTGGCTCAGCTATTTACAGCTGCACTATGAGGGTTCTTGGTTTGAGTTCCCGAAACGTATTTCATTTGTAGCCAATGAAAAGTAATTCGTGTCTAAGTTATAAAAATAATCACGGACTCAAAACAATGAGACCCTGCATCTCGAAGGTGTTGCTTCTGCGCCATAACCTGTGGCTATACCCCAACATGTAGATTTTTCTTCGAGTATTAGATTTTAACTTAAACCAGGTTTAAAGAAAATTTGTCGAAATCTATCTTGATTAAGCGATAGCCTTTAAAAATATTTAAAAAAATCTTAATAAATCTTTACACTCCAATCAATAATTCAATTCAGACGTTCCGATACAATAACTATAATTATTTCCTAATAAATCGTTTTTACCCTTGAACTATCGCTTTGGCTGAAATCGAGCCGTGCATTATATTTTCGTTTATATTTATCATATGTTATAGCGCAATACTTATTGTACTGGTGTTATAAGGTTTTTAATAAACAATCAAAATGCAGTAGGTATAAGAATATTACTGGAATTGACTCGTTTGGATTTTTTCGATAAATCATTTGTAAATAAAGGTATGAAGCAGAAGAAAGAACGAAAGAAATCGAATACATTTCCATAATATACATAATGTTATTGACCTAGTGGTAACTTGGAATTTTTCTAAGAAAATTTTAATGGACACCCTAAAGTCTGGAAGTAGATGTCACTATAAACCCTTTCCCCCCTCCGCGTCTCGGAAAGCACAATAAGGTCTTCATCATCACCACTATTAGTAACGGTAGTTGTGCAGCTCAGCAAAACTTGCTTAAGCAACTTTGTGGCCCTAAGGTGTTAAACCCTCTCATTCATATTGCGACACAGGGACAAGAAATTGACAATGGATTTGAGATTATTTAGAATTGAAATTAGTCAAATGTATTAAAATTATGATACTAATAAGCTTTCAAGAACCATACCGCCATTACAATGGATTATTAATAAACAAATAGGTTGTAAAAGCTTACGGACATGGCAATTATAACATAATATTACCGCAGTTACATGATACGCAAATAGTTTTGACGGTCAACAACCGCAGGGCGAGAAGCGTTTCTGTCACTTTCTCTTGATGCCATATTTGATGTACTTAACGACATCTAGCGGTGAATATATTGTACAATATTTGTCGTTTTACTAGTGAACTCTGGCGGTGAGTGGACAAACTTTATGATGAAGTTTGTTTTGAGGACGAATTACTTATTTAAAATAGTAATAAGTACGCTCTTTTTATCAAAATATTGTAGTAAGTGTTTTTATTTTATGAAAAACATACATAATAATTAATTTATAGTCATTGATCAACACGTAGTTAACAGTTTCATTATTTCACAAGACTATTACGAGTCAGGATGGCCGAGCGGTCTAAGGCGCTGCGTTCAGGTCGCAGTCCACTTCTGTGGGCGTGGGTTCGAATCCCACTTCTGACATATATCACTTTTTAATAATATTTTTAAGAACTCATCAAAAAATAATTTTAAAATCACTAACTGCATGGCAATGCAGCTACGCATTGGTCTTAATTTTATTTTCTATTAAAATTAACTGTGTTGAATGGAAATAAAGTCACATATGAGTTTGCTAAAAATGCGCAATTAACTTAAGAGAAATTAAATTTGTATTATTATTCGTGAAAAAATTAGAAGAACGTAATGACGTCAGAACAACTGAAAAATATAGGCTCATTATTTAATCATTACCAGTGCAAAAGCAAGTGACAGCCAGTCAGCGCTAAAGCTACCAAAGCTACGGACCGAAAAATTTAGCGTTTTCTCCTAAATATGACAAAAACATAATCAAACATAATATCTGAGTGATTCGGCAATTTATCAAATAGGCCATTATTATCATAGTTGTCAAAACTGTTCATTTTTTTTATCTGTATGCTTTGTCCGTTGACAAAGCCCCTAAACCAAGTACTTTTGTATAATAAATACAGAAATGAAATCTTTATAAATTTTTTTGAAACTAAATATTTAAATTGACGAATTTTTACGATCTTACTTATAGATAAACATACATATTTACATTTAGATAATTTAGGTCTGTGGTTCGACTTATATATTTTTATACTACATCAGTACATCTATCCATTTTGACGTACGTGACATTGAAATAACCTATAAAATATAAACAAAATTCAAAATTTTCAATAAGGATTAATTGTACTTTTTTTCAATATTTTCTTTTATTTAAAAATGACGACAATTACAGTGGCCAACGAGGAGGAAATTATTAGGAAACTGTCGTCTTACATTGAAAAGATATCGAACGATGCTATACACAACCGTGGAAAGTTTTACGTTGGTTTATCAGGTAAGTTCAGTTCTTTTCTATAAAACATGTACAATTATCATAAAAACTGGTATGAAGACATGTGTTCTGCTATTTAATCCTCTATAACGATTATAAATTTAAAATTACTGACCGGCGTTTACTGTACGTCAATGGCTTGTCAATAGCAATAAGTGTGACAAACTGCTTAATTACAGGTGGTTCAGTGGTAAAATACCTCAGTGAAGGCCTGCCGAAAGTAAACACAGACTGGTCTAAATGGGTGCTAGCATTCTGTGATGAGAGATTGGTGCCAGAAGACAGTGAGGACTCAACCTTTGGTGTCTATTGCAAACAGATGATACCAAAAACTTTACTAGACAAAAGCCAGTTCATAACTATTAAACAAGGAGTTAATGGTAGGTTTTAATTGTAATAATGTCATGTAATGGTCATAAAACTTTAGATAACTTATATTTGTAATTATCCTAAACATTTAGGTAACCTTTATATTGAAAGTTATGTATGTATTATCTATTTTTTAGCTGAAGAAGCAGCTAAGGATTATACTGAGCAACTGATAAAAGCATTTGGTGGAGATGACTTCAAATTTGATTTATTATTACTTGGAATGGGCCCAGACGGCCACACATGTTCACTGTTCCCTAACCACACATTGTTGAATGAAACCCAATTAAAAGTAGCGGCTATAACTGATTCACCCAAACCTCCACCAGAGAGAATAACCCTGACCTATCCAGTTATCAACAGTGCTAGAAATTGTATCTTTGCTGCTAGTGGTGCAGCAAAGGCTGAAATGATTAAAGTATGTAAACTTCTAGTTTAGAAAAAGAAAGTAAACCTATTCGAATTCTTCTTTTCTATCTATTTTTATTATTCTAATCTAAGTAAATTATTAAAATTTTATGTTTAGTTCTATATTTCCATATGCATAGTTTAAAAAGTTATAATCTCAGAACATCACAACTGTTTTTTCCAGTGTCTCAGCGTAATAACTAATAGTTAACATTTTTTTCTTTAAGTTTTATTAGCATCTCACTATTCAGTCAAAATGTCTTGTGAAAGATGAAATTATTACAATTAAAACCTACCATAAGTAAAGTTTCTACTAAATGTTATTTTCTAATTACAGCGGATACTGAAAGATAAAGAAGATTTACCTGCCGCTAGAGTGAAACCAACACATGGATCTGTTTACTGGATCGTAGATGCGGCGGCAGCGCAGCATCTATAAAGAGTTAAGACTAACGAACGCCTAAAGGCATCTGACCAAATGAAAAGGATATTTTTGATACCACAAATTCTTTCTTATATAAGTAGCGGCAAGATAATACATTCTAAATGGTAATGACATTTGTAATGACATAAATTTGGGAAACCGAAATATGATACTTGTGGTAGCATTTTGTCATTTATTAACTTTTTTGGCTTTTATATACTATGTATTGATGATAATTTTCATCATCAGGTATTACACGCGGTGATTTATGTGCTAAAAAGCGATTCCATTACCAGTAATGCATTATTTTTATCTTAGTGTTGGGTTAACTTCTTGGAACGCACAATAGAGTTAAGAAGAATATTTTTATGTTGTACATTCCTGTTAATAAACTTGTTGCAAAACGTGTTGTTTCTGCATTAGGCTGCATACTGTTGTAACACTGAAGAGACTAGCATTTTTTGAAGTTTTTCTCAGTTTGACGCTTTCAGTTCTGTTTTGTTATTTGTAGGACACATTATGAGAAAGAGAAGTTTGGTGTTGGGATAGCTTATGAAGTTTTGCTTACTTTTTTGTCATGCCTGGACGTACAAACCTAACCTTATGTATGTCAAGTTTCATTGCTTAATACCCTTGACCGACTAAACCTAATTTACTGACGCTCATGAATTGAAAGACAACTGGCGAAAATAAAAACGAGTCTGCGAAGGTTGTTCCAATATGTGTATTTCCCTCATACTCTCAAATGCCCGCGAGATCAACAGCATTCTTCACAATAAAAAAGACCTCGACTATTTTACGGTAATGTTACATTACAATAATTAACCACCTACGACACATTATTTTTTAATACAATCATTATTTTATGTAATTACAAAAAGTCTGTCAACTAAATACAAAATATTCGGCGCGCATAGCGCACCAAACGCTTACACATATACATATTTTATAGAGATAACATATACATAGCACTACCGTTAATTTATTAAACGAAATTGTAACCTAACGGAGCGGACTTAGCGTAGATGAGAAGCGCGCCGTCGCGTCGCGTCCGCGCCTCCCGCATCAGAAATTAAACACTAAACCTAATCTAATCTCGCGACCCGACGCTCGCGTAGGACAGAAGGTGACGCAACGCTCCGACGCAGATACACTAGGAATTTAATAGAAAAAAAATATTAACACAGCGATTTCTATTCCTTTCATTATTTTACAATGTCAGTAGTAATACACGAAGTTACGTAAAACGGACCGGATCCGCAACACTTGTATTACGCGTAATGGGCGACGCGCGCGCAGACAAGTTTGCTCCGTCACGGGCAGGCTTAATTTTATACATTGCGGCGTTCCAAGTGAAACACGATACAATTTACAATATGACGAATTAATTATTATCTAGGTCGGCGACCGCGCAAGCCCGCCCGCGAGCGCTAAAAAAAATCGTATCACAATCGTAAAACACGTCGAAAGCAAAAGGAACTACCATTTTAGATTTACATATTTGCAAATATTCTACGAATACGCGTCGATACCATGATTTGAGAGTGACGAACTCGAACTTAATTAACGTTAAAATACTTAAACGGGTAACGCTAACGATATACGTCATAAAATAACAAATATAGGAAAAACTAATAATACAGCGGACGATAATTTTGCTTCGTACCGCGTATTGAGCGTAAGTATTACGCGTATTCGTAAAACGATGAGGTTCGCAAAGGTTACGCGAACACAAGTGTGTGTGGGTAAGTATGTGTTTGTGTACGCGTTGTATGTCAATTGACTGGGTGTGTGGCTAGCGCCCTATGTACATGTGTCGAACGACCGTTGCATGCCGCCTGCGAACAAAACAAATGTTTTAAAAGTTACATAATTTAATCCTTGAGAAAATTGTGCAAATTGAAGATGTAGTTTTTCCTGTGAACAGCATTGGGTAGACCCATGTCTGTGACTATATTTTATAGATACGTATTGGTCCTGGGTTCACTCCTGTGTAGAATAAAACTATTAAATCCCCGAGTCCAAACCCAAGACTGCAATGCTCTTCACCATTGTTTCACGGTTATGGCTTATACATAGAAAATAAATCATTTCGAATGATATAAAGTTAGACATACATAACGTGGTCTAGTTGGGCGCCCAGTAGGACTGCGAATACGTGGGCTTGCTGCCTCCAGCCTTCCCGCCTGCTGCCCGTCCCCCGGCACCACTCTCCTACAGAAATCATTATATTACAGTTTGTCTTTAATCGACCATTTTGCTAGATCAATCGGCTTCTGTTTTCAGATTACAAAAAATATATCACGTTCTGACTAAACAAAGTAGCATATATGGGTTTTTGTACCAGTAGTTATCAAACCAAAAGCCAATTTTTCAAAAGCACACAGTTAAAGTCAGATGAGACATCAAGAGAAGATTTAGTAAATTCCAAATTAATGAAGTTTTTGTATATCTATTAAATACCATGTTAGGATAACCTGTTTTCTTAGACAAAACTTAAAGTGGTCCAAATGCCTCGTATAACCTCAAAATTGCTTACAGCATACACAACATAACAAATGGTGGTAGATGCACAAGGCGGGTAACATTCAGTGAAAAATATTATGTACAAACTTTATATAATACTTAGATAATATATAAGTAGCGTCAAAATATAGTGCAGATAAATATTATATGGGGTGTTATGGCTGAAACTTAACGTGGGATTGTAGGTAAAATTCTCTGACATAATGTATATAGTTCATGTTTGATAGCTAAAATATATGTGTTAGGCATGTAAAACATACAAGTAAGTACTTTACACTCTTTTAGAAGCATAAAGCTAGAAGAAAATTATGTATTCTTGGATTAACACATCATGTGGTGCTTTGTAAAATGCATTGAAGTTCAGTAGACACTTTACAGTTCAAGCACACAAAATGACATGAAAACTGGGTGCAGTCATATAAATGGTTGACCACTTCACCCATACCTATATTTACTGAGATTGTTTGGTTATTCCAATAACTCAAACCGAAGGAAGGTTCTTTTACATCTTACTACCTACCCCAATAGTTTTTCTTCATAAAAACAACAGTGGCACTAGAACTACAAGGGTAAGGATTTCAAAAAACTATCAAGTTTTAGCCATAACACAGCGCTGCGAACATAAACATATAATATAATAGATAACTTACCCGCCTATTATGACTACTGTTCACCCGTACATCCATCTACAAACGAAAGCAAACTCTAACTTTTGTAAGAAAATAAAACAAACACTATCGTACATGCACGGGTGTGTCGTGTGTGAGTGAATCGAAATCGGCTGTCTAGTAACTATATATACACAATTCAAAGCTAGTACTTAAATTATAATTGTGCTGTTGCTCTACTAATTGAGCGTCTGTTTCCGTGCTGTCATCTATTTCTCATGACATTTATATCTCGCACAATTTAATTCCAACCTTAACACTTAAGCATTAAGGTATAGATATGCATATCGTCTATATTTTTGTGATGTTTAAAAGGTGATAAAGTACAACAAAATAAGTTATTGGTGGGGGAAAACGTTTTATACAAAAATCTACAAACGCAACTCAATAAAAAAAAATTAGAAAATAGATAAAAGGATTCTCAGCTGAGCGATGACAGAATTTCAAAAACAGTGTTTCAATAAAACAAAAAGTGTAATAATATGTTCCTAACAAGATTTCAACCATCCCTGTAACATCGTGGTGTAACTTCACTAGTTTAAGTTTGTATTATTGCCAAATGATATATGTAATTGTTAAATTACACCGATCGAAAGAAAAGAAACCGTGTCCGTGTCTGTTGACATCAGTCATAAAGATTCGAAACATCGAGTCGCTACTTATATATTGCGCATTTTATACTGTTAAAAGTGTTTTATTTAAATGTGTACTACTCGCGTAAATTACAGATACTAATATTTACACTAATATCATTTGTTTGTAATTGTGTTAATCGCATTGTGTGCATGCTTAAAGTGCATGTGTATGGATGCATGTGTGTATGTAGCATACCTGATGTTGTGGATGGTGGTGTGGGTGGTGGTGCGGCGGCGCGGGGATGTACAAGTGCGAGGCAGCACCAAACGGTGGTGGAGTACCGCTGTGGAATCCGGCCTTTTCATAGCTCTGAAACATTTTCGGGACAGACGTATTAGAAAACGATACAGCAATTACTGATAGATCGCCTATAATTTCGTTAAGCGCATGGAGTCTTAAAGAAACACGATTACATAAGTTTCGTCAAATCTATATACAATTTTCTAGGTGTTTAACTATTTTAGATGTAAACATTATTTTAAATTTTAAAAAATATGACAAACGCTAAAAATAAGACAAAAAAATTAAAAAAAAATGACGCGAACTAATGATCGCCGATGTACGATAATTTTGCATTACCACTTGCGCTACCGAACTTTTAATAGGGGGGGACGGATTTTAGACTTAAAATATTTGTATGATACTACAAGAATACACATTTAACTGGTACAAAACCCACTTTAAAATACTTACATTAACCTTGTTGAGCGCGACGTGCGCCTTTCCGTACATCGCGTTAGTGAGATCTGCGCTTGCGCCGGCCGCACTCTTATTTGCGTTGCCGGTGTAAGGACCGCCTTTAAAATATTTTTTTGGCGTCAATATTGATTAAACAATTGTTGATCATACAGGATGGTTACATATCAAGAAACTATCATACGCGTTACAAAAGACGATTCAAAGATAAATAAGAAAAAGCCAAGTGCAGGTAGCACTTGCCCACCATCGTAAATTCAGAGATTTTATATTATCTCTATAAGGAAAGATATGATTGGAAGAAACACCAAGTCTAGGTATATTTTTTATACGGAACCCTAAAAAGTTTGATTTATGTAGTCTCGTGTCTCGTTCAGCCAATTGAGCTACCATCTGTCGTTTAAATCTCAACTACTCTCGGTTGGATCTAAACTCGATTATCAACCCTATGAATACAACGTTGGCGTGATGTTACTTCGCCATAATATCCTTTATATAATGTAAATGCAACAAACCGGGTTTGTACGTGTCTTGCGCGTCGTAAGGCGGCTGTTGTTGCTGTGAATAGGCTGATACTTTTCCTCCAGTAGACACGCCCACACCGCCAACTCCGCCTACGCCACCAACTCCGCCCACATTAGATCCACCGCCATACTGTTATTAAAAATATGTTTTAGTTTATTAATATTAAGGACAATTGGTCGAACCTGTACTCAAAATATGCAAGATTAAGTCTTTCATGTCAGTAAGAAAAAAATCTTACCGTAGGGTAGACTCCATATTGGTATGTGGTAGGCGGATGCTGATAGAAGTACGCGTAACCTGGTGGTAATGCGGCAGGCACCTTAAAGAAAATAATTTTGCAATTTTAACTAATGTCTGTTGTAACATAAAATAGTTACCAGATATTGCATTAATTTGCCGGAGAAATTTATGGTCAAGTCAAATATTAAAAAAGTAAGGATATATGATAAAAAATTAAATGACTGTAGCCTTTCAAAAAGATATTTGTGCTTGAAATCATTCAAATGTTGTTATTATAAAAAAAATAAAACATTTATACGAAGCGAACCGTCAGGCCGTGGTAAAAAGGAATTTAAAATAATTTTACTAATTGATTTATCGTTTTTAACGTAAAACATTTACTTTAAGAATAATTATAGCATTACTAATATTATCTTACTTTTACTTGCGTTCTTACTATAATTTGCTAAGCATTGAATTGTACCTGTTGTGGTGAAGCAGCATCGGTTCTTGGAAACCTTTCTGCAGCTCCTAAACCAAACGTACTACCGTCCCGACCACCGTAACCGACTTCGTAGTAGCCACCCTGAAAACGTATATAATTTATTATAAAAAATACATAAATATGCATTAAAAAGAAAAATGTTAAATATTACATGTATTCACAACTTTCAAGTTATTTCTAATTTATCTGAATAGCTTTTACAAAAATTGTGAACTTGTGAAAAAGGGGAAAAGCGAAAACATTAATTATGATTATTAAAAAATAATCACTCACCATATGATGTGGTAAAGTGCCTCTGCATAGTTGCTCATCGTAGTATGCACCACCGTAGAGGGCGCCTCCAGCGTAGCCCGCGCTGCCCGCGCCACCAGCGCTTGCCGCACTGCTACCGGAAGTTGACGATACCCCGCTGTTCACTGCTGCACTCGCTACAAAATATTAATTAAACAACCGTAAGATCCGGAAATTAATTTTGCCAATTTTCTGAGACTAAAACATACATAAATCGGACCTCGACAATTTAAGGTAGTAGCAGTACTACTCTACTGAATACGTAAAAAGACAATTTAAGGTAATAAGTCAAATCAGTATGGTTATGTGAAATATTATGTTTTACTCTTACCTGTGGTCGTGACCACTTTAGCTGTGGACGTTTGTTGTGTTGTGGACGCATTCGTTAAACTGTTACTCGACGCTACCGAGTTGTCATACTAGAAGGAAGACAAAGGGTTTTAATGTTACCGTCATTTTTACGAACTAAATTAAAGATTTTCTTGTTTTTTTCTTACCTGTGACTGTTCTTTGTGTTTGGGCTGTGGTAGTTGAGAGGGCTGATAGGGCGTGTACGGCGCTGCCGTATATAACGCGCTACCACCATATACCCCCGCTGACGATGACGTTTGCTATAATTATACAAATATAATTTTAAAAGTACTTGGAATAACGTATGGGAGGTAAAAAATAATTTATATTTATAATTTGTTTCGGTGAGGCCGACGATAGAACTCTCAACTCTATTACTTGACTAACATGGCCTCTCATAACATTAAATGTACCTGGTACGAATTGATGATAGGTTGATAGGTGGTTAACGTTACGCTAGAAGGATACTGCGCAGGGTTAAGTGGCGCCGCATGCGAAGCCCCCACCCCTCCTGCAACACCTGCGCCGGCCACCGCACCGGCTAACGACGCCGCAGAACTTGAATTCACCTGGAAAACGTAGTTCGTAAAAATAATCATGAAAATTCGTATCTGGGCGATTGTAAATTAATAAAAAAGTAAGTAGAAATAGAAGAAAAAGGTCCTTCGAGCCGGAGACGGGTAGAATCAAATATGTATATTGTTAAATACTATACACGTAAATAGTACAAACCTGTGGCGCGTATAACGCAGAACCGTATAGGGGCGGATGGTGAGACACTCCACCGCTCGGGTAGACTGTCGCTGCACCGGTCGCCGGTTGCTAATAAATATGAATTTATATAATATAGTAGTGACATGAAATGTTTTAAACAAATGATAAACAATAAGAGTTCATATTAAAATAAAAGCGTTTATTTATTATAGTCCAAATTCTAATTATTCATCGATTAATTTTCTATGTATTAAATACACTTTTAAAGTTTTTATAAAGTGAAAGAAGAAAAAATCATATATATATATTTAGATATATTTTGTCGCCTACCTTCGTCCTGTGGTTGTGGTGGGCGTAATGCTGGTGGTGGTGCATGGCCGATTGAGCAGCGCTACTCGTGCTCGTGTCGGACACGACCGCCGCAAGTGACGCAGATAACTTATCTATTGCTGTAAGGTAAAATGTTTTTCTCATACTGTTTATTACTCGGCAGTTTAATTTATAGAGACAAACTTACAGCTTGCATTGGAAGCGGCAGGTTCTAACGTGGCAGGTTGTTGGTTGGTCGTACTTGATTCCACTGCGTTTAGACTCTCGTTTAGCTGAAATTAAGTAATAATTATGACATAACAAAAATATAGCGATAGAATAAACAATAGGGCTGTGTTATCATAAGATCGGAACAAAGATAAACACACTGAAGATATTAAATAAGTCCATGGTTGATTGCAGTATACAAGTTGCTTAAAAGCATTGTAGGTACAGCTAAATACTTGGTAAATGCGAGAAAAAGTTGTTTATACAGTGCCTAAAAGAATGTGATTCCTAAAAGAGTAACCAATGTCGGACATCTCTTTGGTCTCATGTGAGGCTTACCATGTTGGAATTGGGGTAAGAGGCCGCGGGCGTTTCCGCGACAGTCTCGTGACTCGTCGCAACGACTTGCGGATCCGCGACTTGCTGTGCCACCTGCGTCGCGTACTGTGCAAACGTGTAGGCTGGGCTTAGCATTAGGTTACGCGACATATGAAATCTCCATGCAATGACTGTTGCACGTGTTAGAATAAAACAACTTTAACGAATCGAAATGACACATGATCCCTATATCTGTATCCGTTGCAGAATATGCGCAAACGCGACATATACAGACACCCTCTTTATATTTAGTTATAACACTATCTTTTTAGGCACTCTTTTAGCAACATAACGGGTTTTATTCTGATAAAGTTGTTTTATAAACTAAGCCTAGTACTAAGTATAGTAAATAGTATTACAAAGTCCCAACTATATTTGGATATGTAATAACTATACACATAAATAACTAGATGATTGTTTTAGTCACAAAGCTTTCAAAACAAAGTTATTGTCAAATAACTGATATTTAAACATTTTAAGGGCCTGCTTTACCATTTCCTTCTCCTTCAAAATCAATAAGTTATTTGACAATTGATGGAACAAAATGATATTAAAATTCTTATACAAAACACGCACACGATTTTCTTGGTTTGTTATTGAAATAGTGTTAATAACACGGTTAATGGCAATATACAGAAGTGGCTAGTTACCTGCTTAGGTCGAGCAGTTTGCGGCGTGTGGGGCTGTTGGGCGGATTGCGCGTTCTGCATGGGCTGCACGTTTTGCTGCTGAGTGGGCTGCGGCGGGGTGTGCGATTGTGGCACTTGTTGAGCGACCTGTTGCACCTATATATTAAACATTCACTAGTACACATTCTCATTTGACAATATATTTTTTCATTGAGAAAAGGCAAGCACAGAAGAACAGACTAAAGCTGAAATCAGGTTAACAGTTACTGATTTTCCATATACTAGTCGCTCCATGTTTTAAAAAATTATAAATGATCACGGTATGCCGTAGTAGGCTTGAATACTTCCCATTTCATGTATTTTTTCTTTGTTGCCTGGCATTGGCATTGCTTTACTTTATAAATTCAAATGTACTGAATTTTGTGTACCTGTTGCGCGACCTGTTGGACTTGCGGCGCGTGTGGAGTGTGCTGTGGCGTGTCAATGGCGTCCGGTTCCAAAGCACCAAATTGAACATCGAGGAATATGCCACCTCCACTTTCGCCACCGCCAGGCATTTCCACGGCTGACGACGGAATCTAGACATATTTTACTAAGTGATATATTAAGTTATGATAACTAATATATTTCGCGGTTAAAATCGTTAAAGTATTTTCAGCGTAAACCTCAGACAATATTATAATCTCTCAGTCGGATGAGTACTATCACTTACCTTAGATGGAGGAGGCACCCTCGCCCGCTGGGGCTTTCTCTGGCTGCTCATCTCCGCGGAACCGTACACACCGTAGTTGCTAGCGTAAACACCTTGAAAAGATTTCATTAGTGTTATATATAAATCTGTCGTCGTAAAAAATAAATATACACAGTTGTCAATTTAGAATCCTACTTACTATTATCGTGCCTTTGCGCTTGGTGCGTCAGCTGCGACAGGTATTGAGATTGCGCAGCGCTCAGCGATCCTGACATGCCCATGGGCTGTAAATAGCACAATAAAGTTGTATTGTCTGTATTTAATAGTTAATAGAAGCAATGTTTGAGGGGCTTTTTGATAGCATTTAACAATATATGACTGATAATCAGTGGTTCGTGGTTTCGATAACCACTGGGTTCTAACTCGGAGGTAGAACATGAAATGAAAATTCCATTCGGGTCACAAACCGCGGAAAAAAAAACCAGCTCCCAAATATCAAAGTCTAAAATAGGTTAACTTAGGTATCTTGAATAGATATTATATGTCTATATAATATAGATATTTCACCTCAAGTCAACGTCTTGCTTGTCTGTTTCCTCTATTATAAAAAAAACTTGGGTGAAGACGGTGAGCATTATATATATTATTGGTGAAAATCCTTTACCAGTATAATTTGTTATTGTACCTGATGATGGTGATAGTTGTCGATCGGCTCAGTTGCCACGGCTGGGGCTGCTGCCAAGTTGCCGACGCCTGGACCAGACGTTACTGACGGACCGGACACCATTTGTTGCTGAAATCCATAATTTATCATTTTTAATGGCAACAGTTGACACAGCATGCACAAAGGTAATAATTATTAATAAAAATAATACTTTTTATTAATAACACCAAGGTTTAAAATAAAACAATTTAATTTTTTAAAATAATTTACATCCTAACAAATATATAAGTAATATTTATCATGATTGTATTAGATATATTTTCTTACCTCGATGTTAGAGTGATGTTGTTGTGTATTGTGGTAAGTGTAAGTGGGGATGTGTCCCTCTGTTGGCCCATTTGTCTCTGGCACTTCCCAGTCCTCCTGCAAACATCAATCATATAATTTAGTTTCTGTATACTATATTAGTAATTGTAATTTGTCTTAACTTGCTTTTGACCATTACAACATAATAAAAAAAAGGTATATAAGTCATACTACGCCATGCTACTCTGCATTTATATATATTTTTTAATTATATCTTCTTGACTTTCTATTATTATCTTTTTTATTTTACTAAGGTCACACTTATCCCTTCCTGACATAAGACCTCAATAAATAAAAGTTAACTCACAGAGGGTGGAACCTGCGCGGGCGCCGCATCGCCGTCAGCTGCATTCTGTGCCAACGAACTCGGGGTGAACACCTATGTATACAGATATTACTCAGTCGGGGCACATTGTAGAGGGTTATCCAAACGTTATTGAAAATTTTAAGCGATATTTAGGCCTTTATAAAGATAACATAGGACTTTTTACAAGACAACTTAAATAGAGAAATTTAAACTTAAAAACAATGAAATGAATGTCTTTTAGATATAGATAGATAGTCTTTTAGATAGAGATTTACCTTGGTGTCTGATAGAGAGCCTGACCATTCCTCATTGTCCCAATCCTCCGTAGCAGGGAAAGAATCACCCATGTTGCCACCTATAAATTAGATTATATTATTGTCTTTATCTGCTGAATCATAACAGGACATTGCCGTCTAAACAGACATCTTACAATGATAGGAATAGGCAGCGACCCCCTATGTCCGGAGTGCAGAGAAAGTGAGGAAACAAGCATCCATCTACTCACTGAATGCTCTGCATACTGAGACAAACACATATGGGTTCGGACGAAATTACAGAAGATGAGATCAAAGAATTACAGATGGAAAAAATTATAAGATTCTGCAAGCAAACCGGAAGGTTTGAAGGGGACACGGGGAGAGTTGGATGACCCAAAACCTCCACAAGGTGGAAATGGGGAAATGGGTGAAATGGTCAGCTGATAGTGTGGACTGATCACCCTTCCTACCACAGGTGTCCCCGAGAGAAAATAATAATAATAATAATCTGCTGAATAATATAAGGTAAATTGAAGAAGGTGATACAGAAAAGATTATGCATTTATCTTCTATTGAATTGATCTTGTTTAACTTTTGTCTGAGAAATTAACAATCTATTTCAAATCAACATGATTTTGTAAACATTGATGCAAGATAGCGTAGGGAGTGCAGTTTGGCAATTTGGTCCCAGTTGTGGGATTGAAGGTGATTAGGAAATCGCAGTATGTATTATGCCTCCTTTCTATTAGTAATTGGTTGATCTACATTAATGTAGTTGTTAAAGCCCACCAACCCACAATGAAGCTCATATGTTACACTCTCTTCCATAATAAGGAATTTATAACAGAAGTTAGGAGAATATTGCTAAAGTACCGTTGTCAGTCGGATTCCACGAGTGGTCGTTCCTGTCTCTGCCGGGTCGACCGCCGCCCCCACGTCTCCCACCACGGCCGCCACGACCACCCCGGCCTCCACCTCGTCCGCGACCAGAGCCTCTACCGCGGAGGCCTTCACCCTCGCCTCGACCTGGGAAGCACAGATTTTGTTGAATTATTTGTGCTACATAGTTATCACAAGATAAAAAATATGTTTATCACCTAAGTAGCGACAGTCATATTATCAATGATGAAGTCAAGAAACAGCAGTCAATGCATGAAATCACCCAAATGGGTTATGGGCCATGGGCTATTGTATCAATTTCACTAATTTCATTAAGATGCAAGTTGATCAGACTTCTATCAATCCGAAACTACTAGACTCGAGATGTAGACACCGAACCTTAGGCGCGTAACGTTTACCGAGGTAAAGCACGTAACCATTGAGGCTTCGAAGTGAGGATAAATTAATAAAGGAGATTAATTTATGTCGAGAAATGTAAAAAGAATATTTAATCAACCATAGAACAAAATATTGCGTAATTCAAGGTCCGCTATTTTTATAAGGAATATTATTTGTCAATAATATTTTGAAACTGCTTGTAAATATTAAAATCTATCTTATTAATAAAATTTTTATCAAATTAACATGATAGTAAGTAGGTATTTTCCTTATTAAAATAAGGAAAAAAGCTACCACCTACCTAAACAAAAAATTTAAAAACTTACGCGGTCTCGGTCCCGAACGCGCTCGTGGATCCCTTGGGTCTCTGGGCTCCCGTGCCTCTTTACCTGACTCCACTTCTCCATTCCCAGCTGGAGCTGGTGGCTTTTTCTTTTTTTTCTCGTTTGTCTGCCATTCGCTCTGCATAAATTATATTAAAAAAATAATGCATTGAATAATATTTAACTACCTTCCTATGTTATTTATTAATTTCTATTAGGGGACACCGATAGAAGGCCAGGTGATCACTCCACACTATCAAGTGACTATTTCAATCATATCCTTCTTACAGAGCACTTTGGGTTTCCAACTGTCACTTCGGGTTTGCTTGAAGAATCTTATTCATATAAGTTACAATGATGATGCATACCTGTATCCTGGGACTCTCCTCAATCAGAAGGTTGCAAGCGGCGTCCATGTCATTGTCCATGTCGTGCAGGGCCGAGCAAACTTCCTCCTCAGATCTAAATGTCATCTCCATCAGCTGTGTGACCTAGAGACAAGAAATAAAGGATACAAATTAGGAGTATCAGAGCGACATTTACGGACATTATCACTACTGTAAAGCATCCCAAACGTCACAGTAAATATTACACTTATTGCTTATTTGTGTGTTAAAGTGTGACGTGTACTACTCACAATAATTTTAATTTTAAAGTTTGTTATCATTATTATATAACAAAGTGGTGTCCTTACCTTACGTTACCTTTTTATAAACAAAATATTACTTAAAATTATTAGAATTTATAAATTATATTACAAACAAAAAATAGGTGTAAGCAACTAAGGCTGGGACCTAACTTAAATTATAACAAATAAACAACTATAATATATTCCATTTGTTTTTAATCAGTCAGACAAATCTTGGCATCAGTACACCCCTTAGCGATGAAAGATTTATTACAAAGATGTTTACGTACATAATCCTCTTTGTATACGTCATATTAATAAATACGCCATTAATGGGAAATATCGATTTATCGCTTCAATAACGCATTGTAAAGGTTAAGTTGTAACGCAAGGACACTTAATATTGTAAATTCCCCAGTAGTTGTAGGTTTGCGTAAAACACCTCTTCCTCCAGGGGCCTTACACAGGAGGAAGAGGTGCTTTACACCCCTGACTTATGTTTTTTCTATTTCACTAATTGTTTTTATTTTCAGGCGAGTAATTGGTGCACTAACGAAACGAAACACGGTCGCGTACTACCACATTATTAATGATAAACCAAAAACTTTAAGCCTCGTGATATGATTACCAATGTTAGTTTTTGACTGTCTGTAGTATCTGTGTGGTTAAAAGAATTTTATTTTTACAATCCTTTAATTTTTACAATGCAATTAATTTTTAAAAGATAAGAAATGTTTCATACCATTCTGCGAACATCTGCATCTTCACCTTTCCGGTCCACTATGTTAGCCATGCGAAGCTGTTCTGTAGTCGCCTGTAGATATGAACAGGTAAAATTACATTAAAAATATAAGGTTGACACAAGGTATACAAAAAACTTCAGTAGTAGACCCATTTGTTGTTTTTTCGGCATTATGTATTTTCAAATCACAATTGAATACCAAAAATGGAGGCTTTAAATGAAAAGATTTGGACAACAAAATTTACAATTGCGGGTAATAGAATAATTATTTGTTAAGGTAACTGTTGGTTTTATATTGTACCGAGTTTACGTTTTCCTTAGGTTTAATAGTGGGCAACACCAATCCATGTTAATAAAGGTACCTGTGGCTTGGCTTTTTCCTTGGGCTGTTGCTTGTCTGTTCCCTTGCCTTTGTCCTGTTGCTTTCCCTCCTTCCCCTTTGCACCACCCTTGGTGGCGCGCGCACCCAAACTCATTATCACCTACTCTTATATATAGAGCCTCTATTTACAAGCAGCTGAAACAAAAAACCATAACTCAAAACCTTAAAATCAATCTAATTCTATAATTATACTAAATTTCTGAAAAACCTCAGAAGCTAGAACACTCTGAACCATATAAGACAACAGCAAAGGTACAAAAAATACCTACATAATTTAATATTATTGAATACTTATTTTAGAGATGCAATTCACACAGGGTAATTTCTTTTCACAAATTCTAAGTAACTTTTGATTAGCAAAGCGATTGAACATGAGTCATCAATGCTTAAGAGCATACTGAGAAATCATAGTTTGTTGATACAAAGAATATTATTACACAAGCATAGTAGATTCAAATGACATAAGATCAAAATATGCTACTGCAGTTATAACAAAGCTATTACATTACAAATAGTCAAATATAAATATAATGTAATATGAAACCTTTTGTCTTATTGTTCTACATATATATTTTTTGCACCTATCTAATAAAAGTAATCTTTTCTACATAAAACAATTTTATAACATTTAGAATTACTTAAATCATCATTACTTTATATTATGTTTTTTTCTCATTGTAACTTTAAGAGATGTTATTATTTTAAAATACTTTATACCATTTGCCAAATAGAATGAACCATAGGCATATTTGCACAATAATAATATAATTCTAACAATTAAGATGCAGTGATGTAACAAGTCAATGTACTGAAGTGGAAACTCATTACAAAATAAAATAGAATACTTGAATAAATATTTCTCCGACGCGGAAGCTGGCAGTTTGATTGTGATTGGTAAACAAAACACTTGGAAAGTTAAATGGAAAATTAGCGAAATATCGCCAATGTTTTGCAAAGAAAACCAACAAAATGTAAACTTAACATACTAGAAGAGAGGATGAAATGATAATTTGCGTTAAATTACGCGAAAAACCTTCACAATGATTCATTATGAGCATCAGCCGACACCAATATTAAACTTGATAAAGGCAGCGCGTCTGTGCGAAGTGCAACGAAATAAGTGCATCGGCACGTTCCCACGGAAAATTGAGGGCTCACGTCATCAATTTCTAAGACGCTGAACGAAGACGAAATTCAATAGGCGGCACATGTGGGGGACGCCATTCTTCAAGCACCTTTCTTGGTATCAAATTGACAGTCTTTGTTAAAACAATATTCATGCGTTACACCAACTCACATATCATTTAGGACACATCGATACACTTTGACTGTTTTTATGTTTATTTTTACCTTAAAGCTAGTTAATTATCCGGAGAATTTAACGATTTTCAATTAAATTTGCGAATTTCCATACCTGTGAATGCGCTCTCAAACGCAAGCTAGTCACGTGACTTTTGTAGGGATGTGCTATTTACAAAGGTGTTTACTTAATTACGATTCAAGTTCGGAAATGGCCAGTTTCATAACGGAAACTTTCCGATTATGTAACAATTAATTTTGAACACACAGGATTTAAAAAAAAGATTTTAAATAGATACATCAATAGCAATAATTGTGAGACAAGTTAAATATATTTTTAACTAAATCCCGCAAAATAAATTGGGAAGTTCCAGTTCAGTATTATTTAATTATTAAATAGAAATATAATACAGCATTAACCTGTATCTGTATTAGAGAATGCATTCTCTAAAAGTCTGTGGATTACGTGCATTTTAATATATTATTAAATATATATTAGACATAAACAGCGAATATCATCTACGGCAAAATTTACGCAGTCTGTAAATAAGTCTACTACAGATGCATAAATGTCATCAAAGAATATTTAAAATCGGGAGGAAAAATACTTTTGTGTATTGTGATTGATATTAATAGATATTGTTTTAGTATAATATTCATTATTCATCTATTTCGTTATAAAATTAATTGCAGGGTGTTTTAGTAAATTATATAAATCTAAAATTACATGTCGTTACTAGAAGATATTTTTCTCCGAGACGAGGAGAATGAGGCTCACGAATTAGAACGGGTTATAGAAGGCGGCGACTATGAAGAAAGAGCTGCATCAAACAGTGATGATAATAGTGAAAAAGAGGATGAAGCAGGTAAAATGACATTAATTAAACTCATAGGGGTTTCCCACCATAACACAAAGGAAACTGGTTCCTAAAATTTACATGCAGTCTTCGTTAAAATCAAACGTTTTCATGATCTTCTTTGCAGAAGAAGAAAAGAGAAGAGTGGACCCAGCATCTAATAAGACAAAGCGTGTCGTGAAAAACCCTAGATTTGTATTGAATCCTGCTCGTCTAACTGGACCGAGGGGCATACAAGTAATACCTGAGCATTTTAAAGATTTTAAATTCAAAGGTGTGATAATATTGCTTTATAAATGCTATGAACATGTGTTTATTAAGAGTACTAGATAGTTATTATTCAAATAAAAAGCAAGTATGATTTTGTTTTTATAAGTATTTTGAAGTGATAATTTCTGATGAGTTATATAATAGCAGAAGTCTGTGCTATTTGCAATAAAATTTTACCTTTGCTAAGATATTCTGCAAATATTTCCAGGAAAGGGGCATGAAAAGGAAGATTTGGACTTGGTTCTTAAGAAACTAGAACACTGGGCCTACAGACTGTATCCAAAGTTCAAATTTGAAGACTGCTTAAAGAAGATTGAGACATTGGGAAAGAAGCGAATTGTTATGGTTTGTCATATTCTGATTTATGAGATCTGATCTTATTCAAAAGAAATTTTCCAATGTGTGTAAACTATTAAACATATTTTTTTAATTGCTAACTTCAAAGTGAAAATTCCTAGTTTAATAAATTATCACAAATCTTGTAAATACCTTTGCAGGTACATCTTCATAAAATAAGATCTGACCAACTCAATACTGAGGAAATAGTAGTTCAAAATGACTCCAGTGATGATGAAACACAACCCCAACAAGAACCAGATGAGTTCGACAAACTTTTGCAGCAGCAAATTGAGTTAGCGAGATCCACACCTGCACCAAAAGTAAATAAAAGCATTGAAGGCAGTAGTATTGAGAACAGGTAATATTATTTAAGATCTTTGAAAATTCCATACTTAAAACTCATTTGATTGGAAGCGTTAAAAATGGTAGACTTAAGTCTACACAATGGATAACTGATTAACATCTGATGATATCAGTCACTTGTAATGGCAAGATATTGAGAACCATTTCTTAATGAGTCAGTAATAAAAGTAGCTTTATAAATAGCCGCAAGGCAAGCCTTATATCAGTGGTATATAAAGAATAAAGATAAGGTAACAAGTCAACTTTGATAATTTGGAAACTATTTATGTTAACATTTGGATTGCTGATTAAGGTAACTTCCACTAGTTCTTTAAAAAAGAATAATATTATTTTCTATAGCTTTTTGTATGTATGTCATATCATACCTGGCTAGAGGAGTATTATCTTTGCAAAATGTAGGTAATTCATATATATAATTCCAGATCTCTAATTGTGCCAAAAGTAATGTCATCACCCTCAATTAGTGCTGAGCAAAGAGAGAGAATGCTACGAAATAGGCAACGTGCTGAAGAGAGGCGTTTAGCTAAATTGAACAACTCCACTAGTGCTAATATAAATGAAGTAGAAGCATGTAAACCTGCCAATCATGATGAAATAGTAGTGGGTAATGTAAAATGTCATACTAATAATCAAGATGACAAATGTACAATAAATGACAATAACGAAAATGATACAAGTAAAACACAAGCAATAATCCGTAGTCATGAAAGCAATCATTCTGACAAAGAACCTGCCTATGTACACCAAGATAAATATGATTATGCAGAACCACTGGACAACCTTCATGTTACTGAATCACAACCGAAAAAACGTAGAAGTAATGTCTTAGATAGTTCTGATGATGAAATTGAACCAGATGTTAATATTGATGAAAGTGAACCACGCCGTAGCGAAACTGTTAACGTGAAAGTAATGCTTCACGCCAAAAAACGTAAAAACAATATTGTTGATAGTAGTGATGAAGAAAATACGAGCTATTTACCGGTAAGCGAAGCATCACAGAGTAATAAAGAAAAAACGAAAATTTCTGAAGATCGAGGAGAGAATGATAGGTCAACACGGAAAGATAATGAATGTGATAGTGATAGACTAATAAACAATTCAAATCAAGAAAATATCGATGTAAGAGAGGTAGTTTTAGAAAACAGTATTATACAAAGTACCATTCAGGGATTGGTTGAAAACGACAATAATTTGAATTTGGAACGGGATCAAGGTACTAGAGAAGAAAATGCGGGTAGCTCTAATATTGATGAAAATGTGCTGATGGATGTAGATTTTACGGATGAGTTTTAGTATCAAGGGTTAAACGTAGTTTTTTTAAATACCAATTGTAAATTCCGAAAATTTATTACATTTCAAACGAAAATAGTTCTTATCACAGTACACAATGGTTGCAAGTAAACATGCTTTATTAAATAACTTACGCTAAAAATGCAAATGATCTTTGTATGAAGACTTAAAACACATCACATTATGTTAATTTGATAGTTACATGTAATTTTTATGACATTGAAAAATTTAACTGGCCGAAAACAGTATGGAAAATCTTTAATTTTACTTATGATATAATTACAATAAAATATTTAAAACTTGAACACTATGTACATTATGTAGGTGCCCAAATTTAACCAACAGCTTTAGGCCACTGAAAATACTTCAAATGATGATAGCCTTGATAGTATCTTTCCCATTGACTATAATTTGAGTACCTCTATGTATGACACATCTAACAATTGTTTAAACAGTTTCAGCCAATTTTATGTAAATAACAAATATTGAGAAAAAATGTCTTAAACTTCATTTCAATTCTTTCGTACAAATTAGTGTAAATGTTATTAAATATGAATGTACAAAGTACACGCTTGCCTCTATAAAACCTATGTTACATTTTTTCACAGGAATTCCCAGAAAATATACAGTACTATCACTATAATTTTATATAAACAATATTTGGTTCTACATCAGTACACCTAAAAATAACAAATAAAGTACACTTGTTTTAGTTATTGTTGAAAGGAATGAAATAATCTTAGCCCATATTTTTAACATTGATTACCTTTTAAATTATATAGGCAAGTGGTGTAAGTTCTAGACTTAGAAAATTCCACATTAAATAAAAAAACATAAAAATAGAAACCTTTCACTGGTTAAAACCAAAGCTATGATGCCGGAGATAACTATTTTAGTGTAAAGTTATTTACAAACTATTTTATTCACAATCATATTACAAGCTTACTATGGCCATATCAGTGTCTCATTTCCACGTTATAAATTAGAGTTGAAACAAGATCCAAAGCCATTCGAAGAATTGAGGTTTCAGCCTTACCACCTTGTAAGTGCAAGGCAAGAATGTTTTGTCTCTGTCATTTAGAATCGCAACTAGAGAGACAAAACATATGCTACTACATGAACTAGTTATAAATAACAAAAAAATTTATACACTCGTGATGTTAAATAACAAATTAAAATCTTAAAGTTAATATACCTATTTAATTAGCTTCTGGTATTAGTGACGCAAAAAACGTTGTAAATATCGTCCAAGTGACAGCGAATAACGATTGCTCGTCCTCTGGTGGGTTTTGGTTGTTTGAAGGGTCCGGTGTTTCCGGCGCAGCTTGGGGGGTCTCTTGCGCCCCCTGAGCGGCTGGATCCGCCTGAGCTTGTGGTCGGGGCGGCTCAGCACGATTTCTGTCGTTCTGTTGCAGATTATTGTTAGGGTTCATCAGCAAATCGCGGAAGAAACCGATTTGATGTCTGAAAATCAAATAAAGTTTAACTGAACAATCAATTTATAAATTTTGAATACTTCTAGTAATGATTTTTTAGAAAATTATGAATTTCCAGCAGTGGTATCTAACGTTTTCAAAATAATAAGCTTTTTCAAATGGGACCATGCGGGCATATTTATGACTCCGTCTCTTGGGCACGGGCGGTTTAATCTTTGGCACCAGGAGGAGGTCACATAGTCGTTTTCAAGTCAAGAACTTTGAATTTAGTAAGAATTAACAAGTAAAAAGAAGGTATTTTATGTACATAAACTTACTGTACTTCAAAATATTCTTTCTTAATTGTACTCTTAAAGAATTTAACATATACTAATTTGTAAATAAATCAATATGTTCAATAAGAGGCTTGAAACCAGTTTGTTGGGTCATGACCCTATGACTCCCCCCGAATACGCCGTTACTCTCACGCTTAACTAAACTACGCAGTTGGCTATGAAACTAAAGGCTGAACGAAAATACTTACAAATATCCAGTCAGTACGAGTATTACAACTAGCAGCAGCCTCGCCGGACTGCCGTAGAAATAAAAGAGCGAGATGAAGACAGCGATCCGCGACGCGACGTATAAATGGTCCAACCAATCCAGACCCTCCTCTTCTCGGACTGGCTGAGGCGGCGGAGGAGGAGCAGGCGCGGGGGCCGCTTCCTGGGGGGGTACTGTGTTGACTGCGTATGCTTGCCATCTAAAAAAATATTTGCAAGATTAAATTAATAGTATAAATGAGATATCTGGTTGAAATAATGAAAATTAATTGTTCCTTTCTCATGCCTAAATTAGTTGATAGATTTTCACAAAATTGTTATTTATATTTAGTAGAACAAGACTTATTGATATATTTCAGAGGTACTAAACCCCAAAAACATTTTCAGGTTTCACATTTCTATATAAATTCAATTTGTAGGCAAAATTAGAAAACCTACACATTTTGCTCTGCTCAACAGAAACAATTATGTCAAATATGTCACTTGATCTTGCAACCAGATCACACAATAGGGTGTATATTACTTTATTACTTACAAATTAGCATACTGTTGCATATACTGCATATAGGCTTGTTGCATTGGCATATATCTATCATTGAAATTGTAATTCTGGTATGGTGGTACCCTTCCATAATTATTGACAAAATAGCTTAGATAGTTTTGCATTTCAACTGTGTGGTTCTGATCATTCTGTCTCATTTCTGGTCGCACTGTCTCGCTCGGTCTCTCTCCAACATTTCTATTTCGTAGTCCATCTGTACTTGGTATGGGTGTGTCCATTTTGTTCTTTGATGTGCACACTAGGTGCATTGTGTGAGGTATTGGGTTCTCATAATTACGTAAAACATCCTTCAATACTGAATTATCGTCTAGTAATTGGCCAGAGTAGATTATTTTCTGTTCTTCTGTTTTCTGAAAAGGGAAAATGGTAAATTTAAAAATTAGGTTTTTGTATAAATGTTGAACTCAAACTAAAAGGAGTCTTGGAACAAATCTTTCATTCAGGTAGAAATAATGCAACTTGGTTGTAAACAAAAATAGTAAAGAGAATGCAAGTAATGTGTCTGCCCTACTTACATGTTAGTGGTATTCTTAATGAACAGTATTTAGGTACAAATTGAAGAATTGGTGGATGTTACTTTCCTGCCTAAGTGGCCCAATTGCCTTGCCTAAGCCTATGCCAAAGAAACTGTGAATGGCAGATGCAATATTACTCTGAATATGTTGTATCAAACTTTTTATATAACTTAGACAATTAGAACTGTGAGCCAAAACAATCAACAAAAAAGATTTAGTTAGGTAATCTCATTTATATTTATGGAAACCTTGTGAATGATATAATTAATTAAGCAAACCTGATAAAAATTGCTGATAGGTATGTGCAGTCTCATTTCCCCGATATATATGAAACAGTCACATTTTTATATGTCTGTAAAGAGATGTTAAGACTTCAGGGATTCCAACCTGGGGCCTAATACTTAACACAATGATCGGCAACAAGTTTGTTGTTAGGTAACCCCTAGTTTAAATGTGTGAATGAGACATGGAGTGTTTTTTTTCCAAAACAGAATTTAATAATTTGTAATCCCTCTTTTGTTTAAGAGGCTTTTACTTCTATTGTTAAAGACTCCTCATGCTTCTACACTAAAAGTATATACAAATTCATATTCATAATTTACGACCTTGAACTATGAAGTCACACTTGTTCATACTTGCTATGCAAAACATATTTTAAACAACACAATTCAAATATGATAACACAAATAACAATAGTTATATTTTTATTTTAAATTAAACATTTCCACTGCTTGATAAGGTTTTATTTGGTCTTAATTAAAAGCAATAAAAAACGAACAACTAACCAATTAATTTAGGTATGTAATTAACATTGCAGTTAATATTACATAATTATCATACTTTAACAACTGGAAAGCTATTGTTATAAGCTAAATATTATGTTTTTAAATTATAATTAAAATTTAGCATTGAAAAGAGAAGATAAGATAATTTAACAATTAAAGATTAGGGTATTTTGAATATATGTAGCACACAATGGGTGTGTTATTGTGTTGATAATATTGTTCTAAATATTTAATTTAATTTATAATCTTCTCTATTGTGTTAACAATTAAATTCACAATTAATATAGTGTGTGGACTATACACTTGACTTTTGATAGCTTATAAACAGAGATTTATGTTACAAACCCAAGATAGATTTCTTGGGTAACAGCAGAGTTGTGTGGTTGTTCAGTGCATTGAATATTTTATTAGTTGTTCAATCTTTTAATTTAAAGTAATGGACACAGTAGGGAAGTGTAATATATAAAGATTATGTACACGAAGGTCATAACTTAATCTATTTCACTTAAAAACCACAAGGGATTAAGTACACAGCTGCATAATTTGTTTGTATGCATGCAAATGATATAATTGGTATATTATGTAACGTCTATTTATAAATAATCTAGCGTTTCTTACCGGTTTACTTGGATAAACTTCAGATAGATGACCTTTCAACTGTCTCACTGTCCATGAAGTCTGGCATTCAATATTCTGGTCCTCAATTTGTTGGTTAGGAGCCTTCACAATAAGTGTCACGTTATCTGGTATCATATTTGTAAAACGCAATTCTGTCGATTGAAATTATGAGCAGCGCAATCTAATCACACTTAATTTTGCCTTCACAAGATGTTAATGACGCAATCACTGAATAAATTGTCAAAAATATATATCGTCGATTAAACTCGCCTCTCAAATTACGGATAAATGTAAACTGAAACAGAATTCTTGTAAATAAATAAATCCGAATGTGATTTCAGTGGCCCAAGTACTTGTCAATTTAACTGAAATTATCTGTCTTTTTATGATTGGAGTAAAATGTCAAAGAATTTCCCAGAATAATCGTTTTGCTTTAACATTGGTGTTTTAAAACTATTTTCAAAAATACTCCTTATTGATTGGTTATAATATTCAAAGCTTCTAATTGGCCAGTTCTTGTGTACTTACTTTAGCTTTATTTTCTTGTCAACAGTTACAGTTTGAATCTACGTACTGTGGGATTTTTTTCACAGATGAGAACAAAAATTAAGCTGTCAAAATCTTAGGAACTGTCATTGTCAACCCATGTCAATATTCAAATCTTGATAGTAAATAAATAAGCGGTATTTGACCAAAAACATTATATGGATATTAGCGATAAAATCTGAGTAAAAATAGTATTTTTATGAAAAGAATTTAAATAGAAATCACTAACTTTAAATGTACCTTTAAAATAACAATGGGGGTCACAGTGTAAGTAGTAATAAGAGTAACCAAAAATGAATTGGAAGAATGGGCTTAAATCCCTACGAAAACAATTTATAAGCTACTGCGTTATAATTCCAGATTACAACAATATCCTGTGCCTGAGAATAAAACAGGAACATATGTAATAGAGCTTCTAACAAAAAGAATATTGGCATTAGGAGCAACTCAACAAGGACAGTTTCTAGTGGACTGTGAGAGTTACCTATCACATCCACAAATGGGTAAATGGAGTGATTGTCATTACAAACAGTTCTTTAATATCAAGACCTTATAGCCACTATGCTATTCAAATGCATGTTTATTACAAATAACATGTGTTATCTTATAATGTGTATTATTAGTTGCAGGGACAACAAAAACTGTGCACATACTCCACAACTCAGAACAGCCTGCATCTGTGTTTTCAATACTAGAGAGTGGTACAAAGAATATCCATGTTATAGCTGATGGTCTCTTTGACTTGCTTATGATGAAGCTCTCCCAACATTATACTTCTAAGAAACAAACTAAGATAGAAAGTAAAGGACCTAGGTTTGAATTGGGAGACTTCTGCGTTAAACTCGGTTCAGTTACTATGAATCAGAGTTTTAAGGGAGTTTTAATTGAGGTAGTAACATTTAAGTAATACCTTATTAACAGCTCTTTAACATATAGAATACACTAATTAGTTGGAACTATCTTTGTTTAGATTTAGGCGTATGTAAGAATAGACATACATTGACTACTCTAGGCAAATGCTGTTTTATTGATGTTATGTTTCTTGTTAGTGCCTTCATACAAAAAGATTAATAGATAAAGCAACAAGGATTACAAACTCCTCTGTATGTGACCCTTCACTTAAGCATAATTATTTATGAATTGTGCACAAGTTACATAGTGGATAGGAACATAGTACCACTGAATAACTATGATATTTTTCAGGTGGAGTACAGGCCCTGTGTGATGGCAAACACAGTTTGGGGCCTCTTACGAGAATTTTTACAAGGTTTGCTTGGCCCCACGATAGCAATACAACCACCACAGTACCTTGTGAGCCGGATGAACGAAATATACACACCAATTGATACTATTTATCAATATTTAGAACATTTTAGTGCTTATAGGAAGATAACTGGCTTGAGGAGTGCGTAGTATTAAGTTATATTTGATAATAAAATTAATATTAAATCATTTTCTTTTTATTTGGCTTAACATGCGCTTCCCAACCAAAAAAGACAAAAAAATATGTGTCACGCCACACTTAGAATTAATTACAATAATAAGTTTTCCAAGATGGGTGTTTTAGAATGGGTTTATAATTGTCATTTGGTCTTAATATTATAAGGAATTTTAATATGTTCTTTAATTGTAATAGCAAGAGGTGTAGAATTTATTGAAAGTTAATCAAATTGATTAGTAATAATTCTATTTAGAAGACACTTCAAATCACTAAGAAAAGGTATATGAAATTTGTGTATCTACTGAATGGTACGTACTCCTAGAGTTCTACTAGTACTTACGGTTAAATTACATAATATTCGCAAATGTTTTGCTACTAATTATCTCAATAGATATTTTATTATAGAACAAACTGTTTAAAAAGTTTTTTTTTATTCTTGAAAAGATTTGTTCTTTACTTTTTAAGAAAAATCATATCTAGAGACGTCGAGTAAGACTTAAAACCATTTTTAATTACTTTTATGAGATACCTACCATTTAAATATTTACCAAATAAAATGTAAACTACCAAAATGTATTTGTATTTACAAAACCGAAGTTATTTATAACATCCACTGCACGTTCGTAAACAAAATAATGAATAAGTTTATTATGAATCTGTGAGTACACCACGATGTACAATTTTATCTTAATTACCTATTTACGTTAAAAGCGAGAGAATAAAATGAAAACGCGAAATATTATATTGACGAGCACTGTAGCTTTTGTATTAAGTAAGTGATTAAACTTATATAAATAAGTTCAACTCAAATCATCGCGTTTTAAATCGTTAAAGTGTTTTATTAAAATAACTACTCGCGTAAACTATAGACAGTGGGTAATTAATTTTGGGTAAAATTGGGTAAGTAAATTGAAGATGCGAATTTCAAGTTCCTTTTAATTAATTTATGTGTGGCGTAGGGAAACTTCGTTTTAATCACGAGAATTATGTTTAGGTTTTCAGTATAATTCTTACGATCGCTATTAACAAATAAGTAGGTCGTGGGTTTGATTTCGGCTGTACCATGCTTGTGAATTAATCTGAGTTTGTTTTCTTCCATCGAGTGAACCCAATATTGAATGCTATTATTTTCGTTCCTTGTAGTATATGGGGTCAGTTCAGTGGAGATGGATCTAGTAGATTGTGGAATAGATGACGAATTGGATGTGTCTATGGGTAAGGTTCCCATTACGCAGTACCCTTGGGTTGGAGTACTCTTTTATTCGTTCTGTAAGTACCCATTCTTACACCGCATGTACTGTTAAATTAAACTGTACCACGTACCGGACGTCGAAAGTCTGTATCAGGTGGACCGACGTCCTGGAAAAGCGGAAACGCTGTATTCAAGAGACGAACGACTGGTCTAACTGAAAGTTCCTTGGGGGGGTGGGGGTCTCATGTCGTGGATACTGAACGGCTGAAACGAACGAACGACTTGTAAATTAATTCGAAGCACTAACACAAACGTTGTGTCTATATCACATCGGATAAACGAGATTTCGTACATAACTGTCGTCGTAGGTGCAGTAAGGTGTAAAATCTAAAATGTTCATTAAATGTTTCAGTTGGAGAAAAAGGTGAAACGCGAGCTACCACAACCGTTATCCTGATTCAAGTAGAGTTTGTAATAGCACCCGCAGCTGATATTGGACCGATGCCTAAACGCGACTTTAGGTGAAATTCTTAGATGTACTCAGCTTCTGTTAACTTTAGCAGTGGAGGGGATCAAATGTTTTATCATAAATGGAACATAAAATGTAATTTTATCTTTGAGAACCTTTTTCGTAACCATCGCTATTGAAATTTAAAGCCCTGCTGCATTTCCAGAAGGGCTGCTGACCTTCCCTGCCCTTCCTGCATATTCTCATAAAGGACATATTTTCTACATTCTCAAATTAAAATAGATATCTTACAGTTATCATCTATATAGGGAAGAGTAAAATCCCGTTTCCTCTTGGGGGACATGAGACGCCCACAATTTTGTGTCCGTTTCGCCGATCAATTTTATCTACACACAGTGTAGATTTCTGTGCCTATTTGGACCGAAATTTTACAGAATTCACACGCTGCTTCACGCTCAAAGTTAAACAACACTTTTAACGGCTGAGCTAAGCACGCGAATCTTATCTATAAAACAATACAAGATCGCGAGGTATTTTCTTTAATTGTTGCTTAAAATCTTTCAATATTAGAAGAATTTTTAATAGACAAACAAAATCTATAGTTTTATAACATTCTTATTTAGTATATGAATATGTTTAAACGTTACAGAGCGAACTCGAGAGTTCTCCTTGGCGAAGGTTGGAATCGAGCGGGTCGTCGCGTGCGCAACTACGTCATACATCCGGAATACGACCAAACCTTTAACACCATCGCCTTGGTGCAGCTGAGGACTCCTGTCAGGCAAGGTAAATTATAGTTAGTTAAGAAATTTTAATTATTAAGGGTAATGTAATAGTCAAAAACATTTAAACTATATACTAACGATTACCGCTGATCGCCGTTTCACAGTTACTCTTGTCTAAGGACAATATTTCTGTGTTTACAGAAAATATTAAACCAGTGTGTCCACCGCCTCAAATTTTACGTAGTCCGGACCTTTTCGTCATTAAGTTTAAAGAAGGTAAGTAAATACTTTATTTTAGTGAATACATTTTCATGCCTCAATCATATAAATGATTGATCTTTTCTATGTTAGGGAAGGATAGAGGGTAACGCTGTCAATTAAATCTTGACTTTGGAAATTCTGAAATTCATAGTCTGTAATTATATAGCTTTTGTATACGCGGACAAATTAGGTGTAGTATTTTCAGAATATACATTACTTCATTTTATCATTTGTTGAACTCGGTGATAACCGAACCTACGATGCGTCGATTTTATAACTTTTCCAGTAAACCAGCGAATTGTTAAAAAATTGCAATTTCAAAGGGTAAATTGTAAGACATTCTTGCATTTATATTGATATATTGATTCCTAAATTCATATTGGTGTAGATTTTGATCAACTGCAGAAGGAAGTAGTCCCAGTGTCGCACATTCCAGCCAACCTTTGCCGCGAGTTTTATGTCAGAGCAAACGTAAGTTATTAGCGTTAGTCGACATCGAACAGAACGAATCTTTTATTTGAACGTGGAAAAAGACCAACTACTTAACGGTCAGTGAAGACAAGTTAAAGGATCAGTATCGGGTAATACGTAAATATGTCTTTTATCGAGTTCCAATATGGATGGAGCGGGAATTTAATGAAGGTTTTCGTACAGTTGTACGCGAAGAAATTGCGTCCACCGCACGTCGCGTGCGCAGTGTCGTTGCAGGAGAACGACGTGTGCGTTTGGGACGCGGGAGGGGCTCTCGTGGCTAGAGATGTTTGGGGACGATGGCAATTGGTATGAATATTTCCGGATGTTTTGCGACAGAGAAGAATAAACAAGCGTGGTCACTTGATGGTAGGTAAAACAGCGCGCAATATAAATTTTACATTAGCGCTGTCAACCTATTTCTTTTGGTTGTATGGACTGATACTGAAACGTAGACTTCACGCTTTTCCATCTGCGAAAGGAGATTTGTGACCCGTGACGAACAATTATGAATGTAATAATTTAAGTTTCCTAAATAATGTACGAAGTATGTGAATGAATATGAATAATTATCTCCAGATGCATGAATAGTTTAATTTTTGTTCCATACTGGGCGCTATTTTAAGTTAATGTACAACTTTTTAATGTTTAAATGAAATAATAGCTAGGTTTAAGCGTCCGCGGCCCAGGATGCGGTGCCCCATCCCGATATCTGGACATCATGACCTACCAACCGTGGATTGAGAACAGTCTCTCCAAGTTCCGAAGAATAACCATATCCAAGATCTCAAAGCAAAAATACATAGTGAGAAGTATGTTTATATATTTACATAAAACACTTATATGAGTCAAAACTTGATTTCAGCTTCGTAGTTACAATCAACCCGGCCCGGCCGACGTTGTCACTAGTATCGTTTTATAATGATTGGATGTTTTAGATAATGGCAAAATAAAGATATCTTATGATTTACCTTGGGTAACTTGATGTTCTCAATCTATAGCGATTAACTTAAGGTGTTGAATCTTCAGGCGGAGAACATAGCACCGCTTACCAAAGGTTCGGGAACTGTGATGAAGAGGAAAAAATTAACTTGGTCTACCGGGAGATGATCTCGTTGCGAACAGACAACAACCAGTACCAGTTCCTCACTTATAATGTAAGTTTAGAAGTAGAGTTTCGCCTTAGATCCCGTAGTGTTGGTACCATCAACAATATTTTACCGCACGATTTGAAACACGGTTACATTGTAAACTCACTAGCGAATTTATAAACTATTGGCATATCGTGAACCGCATGTATTACCACTTAACGTTACATTTTTGTACATTACAATATATTAAGGGAATATACGCCGATGAAAATAAATTGTATCATTTCAGAAATAACCCACATTTTTTGTTCTCCAAAACAAACAGAGTTTGGGTGTGAAAAAAAGATAGTTTACTATCTTGATGCCAAGTTTTGTTTCTTGTATATATTAAAAAACTATTAAGAGTGAAATAAATTCATAACCCGGGCGGAAAATGACCCCCTCCGTGTCGTAAATTTACATTTATTTTTATATAATAATAATAAAAACTCTTATAAACTTATATGTATATTTTTCGTCCACCTTCGTTGCTAAATGGTAAAACCTTTGCACGGTATTGCGTTAACAATTAATCTTGAATTGGAATCCCGGCAAAACAAGAAATTGCTTCGGACATAAAAGTTTTATCAGCTTCTAGTAGAAATCCATCAGTGACGGGGAAGGGATTCTTTTAATTTTTTATAGGCTCCGATCATATTGGTTTATCGAACTAATGTTAACCGTGTTACAGATGTCTATATACGATAACGTGGAGTACACTTGTCTGACTCTGGAGTTGGTGAATGCGTCCGCTGTTTCAGAGATGCGGGTCAAGCATTTCTGTCCCCGATACTCCTATGGGCCGCCGTGCTATTCGTACAAAGGTTGTATACACATGTATACGCATCGAATATATACATACCCATGCCTTATAGTGCAATTTTGCTTTTTTTCCATACTCATGTTAATCTAAGTTCTGGTCCTTGGAATCAGGTCATCAATCAATACATAATATTCTAAAAAAAAAATCTAACCTGTATGTAGTATATAAGGTCGAAATTATAATGCGCGAAAAGTACATGTAAAAGATTAAAACAAAACTAGATGATCCCTCACCCTCGCCCGTGACATATTTTTCCAATCTGGTTTAAAAAAAAGTCATACATTAACTTTCCCAAATTTTACAAAGTCTTCCTTTTATATAACAACTACGCGAACGTAACATTAAAAAATTATGTCAGCAGTTTACGCGACATTTAAATAAAACACTTTAACGGTTTATAACACCATGGTCACGACTGCTGCAAAGCATTTGAAACGTCGGGCCGTAGTTAAAATAATTTTCAAATAAGTTAAACTTTAAGTTAAATATATACCGCGGTTTAAACCGTAAAAGTTTTTTATTGAAACATAACCTTAATAATTACTAGAAGCCACCCGATACGTTTATTATTACCATATTTCTGGGTTAGAGATCAGTCTGTGCCATTTATAGAATTCTTATTTTGACGCATATTCTACAGGTTCCCTCTTTGAGATATCGGTGTTTATAATGTTTTCGGATACTTGCCGATTCGAGATGTTCGCTTGGGGCTTCAAGAAGAACATGACCCTGCTGGACGTCCAAGAGTGGAAGTGGGAAGAAGGCTCCTACTACGATGATTTCACCGTGAGTCCCATCGAGTACAGGGGTCCCGCACACGAGACGCTCTTTGGCTTCGAGCCCCTGGAGTTATCCAAGTGGGTGCCCGCATATGACGTCTGGTCCACCACGCCCGTCTCCAACATCAGTACCACTACTATACCGGCGAGGGATAAGAGTATGTTACCTTTCATTAAAAGTATCGATATAGTAATTATTAGTTTAGTCAAGTTTCATAGCAAATTTCTTACATATTTTGGCCTAAATATCATTGAATGACCTATATAAGAATAGTGCCCCTCGTTGCTTGATTATGTTTTTATATCGATAATTTATTTTATCGAATTACAAGTACTTAATAATTAGTACAAAATCTTACACACATGTAAGTATGTGTCTCTTGTAGGCAAATACATTCTGTGTATGTTTGAGTAATATATTTAATTAATAGTACTTCTGCGCCTGACGAAAACACTATTTCCCCAAAATCCAAATCCACGATCTCCCTGACAAACACAAGATATAATATAAACAACGAAACTTTACCGACTTGTGAAAACACGTAACGAAAAAGAAGGCCCTAATGCTTTTTATCCCAAAAACATGTTCATTGAAATGGGTGATCTCTTCTTTTTCTAGAAAACTCTCGCCAAATTAACTTACTGGTAAATTTTTTAACAGCTACCCCGAAAGAGGCTCCACGCTATGGTGGTCGACCGAAGTTTACCACGCCCAAACCCAAGTACCCTTACATCGAGCCTTCTACGCTTGCACCGGACGTTGACAGCTTTTTGTTATTGGTTCAAACGGGAACTCCGCATCGAAATGTAGTGACCACCTCGCCTCCACCGGGAAAAGGTAAAAAGGATAGAGGGAACTCGACTAAAAAACAAAGAAACAGAAGGAATAATTACCCTGGTACCAAAATACTTCACACGTAGTGACATAGGAAGGTCCGCAGATGTTTCTTCGAAAATAAGAACTACTAGCTGTGCATGCAACTTCGTCCGAGTGGAATTGTTATTTTGGGCATAATATTATTTATTTTTGCAAACAACCTCCTTAGTTTTATAAATTAGAGCTGTTAAGATATCGTTCGTATCCCGTCGTACTTGAGATAATCTTAAAAGATAGACGTATACTTTCGGGGCCATTTTTTTTGATCATCTAAAGAAGAATCTATTCTTTTATAAATTTTGGTTTCATTGAACCACTTTCGCAGCGCACGCAACGAAAGCCCGTGAAGATGCATAATTATCCCCGTTTTTTCTATATTTGCCTTTGTTTAAAGCCATTCATTGATAAATGCTCCAAGCACATTAACATTTTTTCAATTCAAACCGGTACTTCCCAAATTTAGTTCGATCAAACAAACTCTTTAGCTTTGTAATATCAGTGTAGATTGTGAAATAAAAGTCCATTAACGGATATCCGTGTTTTTTCAATGTACTAGTTATCCGTCTAAATTGTAAATGTCCCTTCCGAGTTCCAGTTTGAGTGAAGTTAGTCGATTTAAATCATTCATCTTAAATTGGCTGCGTGCCACGTACGGGCGTGCGGCCTGTCCGATGAATATTTAATCGGAGGAGCTTTCGAGGTGCTGGAAAGATTTAATTTGATCGTCGTGATTTCACTTAGTAATACTGCTTTTTATGGTATCAATCTATTTTAGGTTGAAACTCGCCAGCCGTACCGTACAGATGAAAGTTTTCATGTAAATTAGGAATCTATTAAGATTGATAAACCTCGGCCAGCCTCAAACCTACGTCTATAGCGATCCGAGCTTCTGCTCAATGCCAATTGAACTACCGTTTACCGTTTGTAGTTGACGCGAGTAGTACACGTTCGCTATAGACGTCTACTTATGACTACGGCCGCTGCAAAGCATCCGAAACGTCGGGCCGAAGTTAAAAATCATTTTTCAAATAAGTTTAACTAAGATATCGCTTTTTAAACCGTTAAAGTGTTTTATTTAAAGCTACCTTGTCTCGCTCGACGTGATTAAATTTCTAAAAGCCATTGATGAATACTCCTATCGCACATTTTTTTCAACCTAAACAGATTTTAAATGTGTACATTGGTCTCATTTGCAATGACATGTGAATAAACTGAAATTCCTATGTAACAATGCACTATACAGGTGTTGTTGGTACAGCACATACGTGAGTTCAAGCATGTATAAGTATTTGATAGGCGTTAACCTCAATCTCAATTAAATCTAGCCTAAAACATGGCTTGTGTTTAGTTCTAGTAATTGCACTCAATGGCCTGTTTGATAGGCAGGGACGGATTGGTCCCATGATTTATGCATTATATTACCGTACCGTTTGCGCTATATTTTTCAAAACGTTCTCCGCCTAGAATACCAAGCTTATATACTTAAAAAATATTCTTCATTTTTTCACGGCTTCAAAAAAACTCTGCTAAAAGATTTAGTTCAGAGTCACTAAATAATTACATTAGTAACAATGACAACGCATAAGGCCTTCTCTTTTATTCTTCATATTTAAAATATAACATTTAAAAAATCCTTTTATCTATACTAATACATAAAGCTGAAGAGTTTGTTTCTTTGTTTAAAGGCGCTAAACTCAGGAACTGCTGTTCGAATTGAAAAATAATTTTAGTGTTTGTTAGAACATCTATCGAGGAAGATTATCGACCCTAAGATATAAAACATTACGTTGCTATCAATAGGAGCAAAGATACCGTGGGAAATGTGTAACTGGGAAAATTATCCATCTTCAACAATTCCCGATGCGTGCGCTGCGAAAACGGTTTAAAATACCCAAAACATATATTTAAAGGAATGATTTCTATACTGTCTATAGTTTACACGAGTAGTACACAGCTTATTTGAAAATGTTTTTTAACTTCGGCCCGACGTTTCCCCGTCTCCCCGTGACCACGGCTGCTGCAAAGCATCCGAAACGTCGGGCCGAAGTTAAAAATCATTTTCAAATAAGTTTAACTAATATATCGCGTTTTAAACCGTTGAAGTGTTTTATTTAAAAGGAATGATTCTTCTTTAAATGATCTAAAAAAATGTTCGCGACAGTATTTGTCTATCTTTTAAATTATTTTGCAATAACAACGGGACGCAAACGACGTCGTTGGTAACAGCTTAAATGTATAGAGTTGAACAGGAGGTTTGCAAAAACAAATTTTGATGCCAAATATAACTATTCTAAGCGGACGAAATAGCTGGTCACACAACTAGTAATAATAATAAAGACGTAACAAGGCCTTGTGTGAGTTCTGAGACCACTCTTCATTTAGAACCATCATGCGATCAAATACTCGCGTAAAGGACTCTAGTTAGGCATAGAATAATTCACAGATAATAGAAGTGAATAGGAGCAATCAGAGTGCGCCGGCCCTGTGTCGACTAGGCCGACAATAGCACGCCTGAACAATGCTTACAGCAGCCCGGCGCTTTGTGCGTCCCCAATTAATTTGTGTGTTGCCAATGAGTCGGCGTATTCGATTATTTCTTTTTACTTCTAAAAAGTTCTTGCGTATACTATAATTATATAAAGACCTACATGTACATTGTAACAATTATCTATTAAAATTTTATACTACTTAACACTGACGGTTTTAATCGCAAAATATATTAGTTAACTCAAATCCCCGTGACCACGGCTGCTGTAAAGCGTAGGGGGTCGTAGTTTGTGTTAAATTGTAAATAAGTATATATTTTACGCGTGTTCAACCGTCAAAAGTGTTTTATTTAAATGTGTATTACTTGCGTAAAGTACATTGATTAAACTTCACGGCTTTTTCATTTGTGGTGGTTAGTAGCCCGGAATTTCCGGATGGAATTCAAAATTCCTACCATCTATTTGATTTCCAGATGAAGTCCAAGATGTTTCAGAAAAATTATAGATTGATTAGAAAAATCCTTGATTTGTTTGATAGTTGATTATTAGCCGTACATCGCTACCTTCCGACGGCCCGTGTAATGGCAAAGTTAAAGTCTGGTCCTAGGTGCAGATTGTATATCGGTATATTATAGACGCATAAATCCATCAATTTAATGAAAACGCGTTAATATCGCCGGTTGGGCGCAGGTCGGTTTAATCTGTTAAGTCTGGCTTATCGGTCGGCGCATATCTCATGATTATTCCTAGTCCAATTTTGCGGCACATCGCCAATACACTGTGCGTCGGGAATGCTAAACAGTCAGGCACTTTTCATCGAATATTCATTGTTTTATTATAAATTGTAAAAAATTACGACACGGGCAGGACACGGTAGCTTAATAGGTTTTAAAGTGCTATTATGTATTATAATATATAGTACAAAAATAAATAATACGATAGCCAAAACAAATATTCACCCACACAGGCACGGTTAGTCATTATTAAGAATATTCGTTACTCGATAACGGTTATCTAGTTTAGTCAGAACTACTCGTATGGAGTAACGAACCAACTTTGTTTGTTTTTTGAATGCAGCAATTGTTTCGTCTTCCGCTCTATCTATTCTAAGCCCTTTACAAATCAATTGTAAGGGAGAACACATACATTGTAACGAATACACACCAGTATCATTGTTTTTGTGATACGATAAAAGGCGAAAAACATGATTTAAAATGTAAACTAACATTTTTATAATTGTTTAAGTACGAAAGTAGTAGTATAAATAAAATTAAAATTGTCTAAAGATTAATTAATTGAAATAACATTGCTAGAAGAAACCAGTTAATCTATTGGAAATGCTTCTTGCGCTCAATTCAAAAAACTAGTGATGTGCTATTGAGAATCATCGATGTTTATGTGGTAAATAAATATGAGTAAACTACTTTATATAAATGTTATAGAATGTATAGTGTATGAATCTATCATAAATTGTTTTCCACTATGTCCTTTTTTTTCAAACGAAAAAATTACTCTATTTTGACTTATTTAGTTAAAATTTATATATAATATGCAATTGTCGTAAACATTTACGGACCATTTTGTTTACCTAAAATATGTTTTCAGCTTCTATAAAACCTTAAGTAGATTATTATATTCTTGTCGCTTAGCGCGTATAATTGAATCTTGTAAGTGACATTTTGTCAAGTGTTTCAACTTGAAAAGTTTCCAAGTTAAATGGTGGATGGTTGCTGGAGCTGTCTCGTTTCAATTTGAAGTGTTAAACGTACTACAGAGAGAAGTATTATATGCCTGTTAAGCTATTTTAAATTTTATTAACATTTGATGATGTTATAAAATATCAAAGAAACCTGCTATACCCAGGCATACAAGATAACTATTTCTGTATAATGGCCATTGAACGCTTACCATATGTATACCTGTATAATGATAAAATCGGTCAGTAATGGTAATACAGAAATATGTTCACCCTTCGCCGCTATAAGGCTAAATTTACCTAACGTCTGTAAACAAGAATTATGTATGTCATAATGTTGAATATACAAATAAACGATTATCTTTTAAATAATACTTTCATTACATTTAAAATTATTAAAATTTATAATACAGTACGTGACATATAAGTACTTATACATGTCACGTATTTTATCGAGTGTTTATAAAATACAGTTTATCGATACTCGATATTGCACAGCCCTAAATTGAAAAGCTTAGTGACAATGGCAGTCCGTTAGAGTATTTTATCAGTTAAGTTTAAAGCCACTTTTCTATCTACGTAAGAAGCTTGATTAAAAGCCGTAGAGATTTCGATTTTCTAAAAAGAACCAAGATTTCGGTTTAAAATTTTTGCGAAACCACTAACTGTATAAAAAATAATATATTATACTGAATACACTTTAAGTGGGCACCATTGATTGTATAAGTTAGTAATTGTAATATGCATTAAAAGTCATAGAACTAATAAAATATAAGAATAGCCTGCATAACCAAGGATATCTAAAAGAGCAGAGGAGGAGAATCTGATCCATTGTATTATATCCAATCCAGTATATTGGAAAACAAGAAACTCTAAAAATCTACACAACGTTATTTGCTATTTGTGTTACTAAGTGAATATTAAATTAGAATTTTCATTTTCCTTATTACTAAAAGTAATTAGTGCGCTGTGTTCGCATACTAAACGGGTTGTAAGGAAAATAGAAGCATTCCTCTGTAGTTGTTTATTAATTGGCAAAGCTTTGGCGTTCGAGTCTCGCGTTAGTTTTGCTCATTAAATTATTATGAAGTACGGTTGACCGGTAAAATACCGCTAGGCGGCGCTGCGGTCGAAGAGAAATTATGCAAATAACCGTCTGAAACTTTGCCCAACCCTTCAGTTTTAAAGAAACTCGCTTGCCAACGAAAAACGAATAAGATGTTCTTAAGATTGTTTAAAAAGTATTTTTTTTTAATGCGGGTGGGGAGAGCCTGATAAAAATATTCCTTTAAATGTATACCGACTGAAGGGTACTCGTATTGTATTTACGATTCAGCCGTTCAATGTCCACTGCTGGACATAGGCCTCCCCCATTTTTTATTGGCGTATTGTATTTATTAATATAGGAATCGGTGAAAAAAAATGTTGTATTTTTTTTTTAGGTTGGAAGCTATTTATAAAAGACGTGTGTAATAAACATAATTTTAGCAAAGAGTAAAAATTATGAACTCACAGAATCATAGAGAGATTTAATGAAGCGTTGATTTTATATCCGAGTGACACGAGGTGTGAAGGCAAATTAAATTACGATATTCAAACGTACACATTTTACGATGAATCTGAAAACGGTTGGCAATTATGAGAATATACGCATATAAGGAATAATTTGTCCAATTACATCGTTTAAGTACAATTTTTTCTTTGAAAATGTTGGTAAACTTTTAAATTAAGTACTGCCTGTAGTTTACGCGATAGGTATTTATTTAAATAAAACACTTTAAGCTGTCTCCCCGTGACCCCTGCTGCTGCAAAGTATCCGAAACGTCGGGTCGTAGTTAAAATAATTTTCACATAAGTTAAACTATTATATATCACGTTTAAAACCGTTGAAATGTTTTATTTAAACTTTTTAATTACATATTTTACACACTCAATGCAGTCGTAATTATTGTTTAATGCAATCTATATGTTGGTCTTACTCAGGAATGTCGCAAAATAGGAAACTTTTACTTGTGTTTATCGCCGTCTTTAGTGAAATGCCATCAAGTATTCAAGTCATAAACAGTAATTGTAAAATATTATAGAACAGAGGCAATTTTTGGCTTCGGCGTGGTCAGCACTGGTATTTTGGGCAGCGTCTTCTTTGAATTGAAATAGGCTAGCGCTCTCTTGGTATCGAGAATTTTAATTTCTTTGCCGTATACCTTGGCTATATAAGTAATCGATTCAGTGAAGTATATCTCCAGGTAGAAATCGACTTGTAAATATCGCATTGCATAGCACAGAGGCTTGTCAGAAGTGCACCAACGGCGGAGGTATATTTTCGGCAATTCTTTCTTCTTTGGTTTGCGGTTCTCGACTCTGAACACTACGCATGAATAATCTACGTCTGCAAATATTGTAAACTGAAAAAATAAGGATTTTAAACACTGTAAAAACATATTGTCTACTAAAAAATGTATGTCGGTAACTAGTGAAATACTCATTACGATAGTACGACAAACACGACAAGCAATAGCAGTCACTTGATGTTCGTTAGACACCAACAAGACAATATCCAAACAGGATACGCTATCGATCTATTTTTGGCCTAAAGAAAACTTAGATTTATAATTCACGCCTTTTACATCTATCGACGGATATTCGTCACTGTAAATTATGATATGTTTTCAGACGAAGAATTACAACTACCACCAACCAACTACCTTTGGAATGAGCCTTTCGGTATTATAATAAAAATGGAAAATAAACTTACGTTATAACTGACTTTGTTGACTCTAATAGCAGGTAGCTTGTGAATTGTAGTACTGTCCGTGTACAATTCAGCTTTCGTCTCTTCTGGGTCACACGGTCCATATCTTTGAACACTACTGACACCTGAGGGATCAGGTAATTAGTTAAACAATGGCTAAGTATGATAATTGAGATTAACAAAATTCTTATAATAAAAAAAATAAAAAAATTAAATAAGGTCCTTTATGAGAGTTACAAATTATTTTGCAGTATTGTTTTTTATGAAACTTTCAGTTTAAGATTAAAATTCGGGAAGAATCTGACAGACATTGGATAAATGGATTATTTAAAGTTTATTAGCAAAATAAAAAACGTAATAAGGCTTTTTTTATAAGACGTTGTTAATAAATTTTTTATTCATTGCACAAAATATTTTGAAAAAGACATCGCAAGGACTAAGCAAATCTACTTACTGAGTTACGGATTTCTAATAATTAACGGAATAAACTAAACAACTGATATGTTAATTCATAGGTTTTTGGACTCACTGCGTCTCAACACTAAATGATTGTCAGCGATTCTGGTGACAGTTGGTCTTCCGATTCGGAGAAGACTGTTCCTGACCCAGGGTCGGTATGAACTGTACTCCATGAAGCGAGCTGGCGATGAACATCCCGGTCCTAGCACTCCAATACCGACCTGCCTTTGTATGTAAAAAACCTGATAAACTGATTTTTCTGATACAGGCAGAACGACAAGCATTGGGTTCACTCACCATATAACATCTCAAACGATGCGATATCGACCTATTTTGCATTTGGATATTCTGAAAGTTACAGACTGATACCGATAGCCGATTTAACATTACAGCTTTTTCATCTGTGGACCACGGTTTCTGATCGGGATGGAATTTCAATATTCCTACCACCCATTTAATATCCAGATTTACATACAAAGTCCAACATGTTACAGAATAATTATAAATTGATAAGAAAAGTGTTGGACTCGATTGGGTTTGAATCCACGACTCGTTGATGACGAGACACACATTGCTATAGTAAATAAATTGACAATAGTTTTTGAGATGAAAGCTCTCAAGCAAACACTTCAGTATTATCGTATTCAACGTATAGGTACTAACCAAACTCCAGTGTCCATTCTGTTTCATGGCGAGCACAGTTCCACTCCGCCACACACACTCCTTGCCGGAAGTAGATCGGGCACATAAAGCGTAAGATGGCCATACGCTATCTATGTTTAGCTAAAATCAAACTTTTACTTATATACTATGTCTACTTAAGTTACACTCAAACTGAACTGTGGCACTTTAAATAATTATTACATACAGATAAGTGGACGACGGGTTAGAAAACAACGGCTCACTATTGGTGACAATTTATATGATAATAATGGAAAGATAACATTACTATTTTAATTATCTTTTCATCGTAACGGTTTTAAGTATAATATTGATAAATACATGAAACCATAAAATATTCAAGGACTAACGCTTAAAGCTCCTAATACACAGTGCTTTAGAAACGCGCAAAAGACGCGCGTTTAAAAAGCACTTATAAAAAGTATTCGGGCCGTAGATTGCGTGTGCATAGAATATAAATCCAAACGCCTATCCAATAGATCGACTTAAAGTTAAGCTGACGAAGAGTGTTGTCTCAAGTTACTCCATTGTGCAACTAAACTAGCATGTCTGTACCGCTGTGTCTAAGTTAATTGGGTATATTTATACGTAATATGTATGTTAGATTAGGTTATTATATTAGGTTAGCAAATATGGTGGTAAAATAAAACGCCCAGCGCAGACATTCAAATATACACAATAAAAGACAACAATAATGAATAAAAAAAAGAAAAACACAGTAAAAGCGCTTTACTAGCCCCGTGTGTTAGCTCAAGGTCTAATTTGATCTTTTGTCGTGTAGGGGTCCGTTTAAAACCACGTCCAAGTGTTGGGCCTTAGATAGGTATTCGTACTTCCGTGGTGCAGTTCAGTCTGGGAGGACTGACTATGGTTGCAGCAAGCATCCATAACGCCGGTCGCATGTAATGAGTGAACTTATATATTTCACGTTTTAAACCGTGTTTTATTTATATGATTAGTAATTCATTGAGAGTAAGCAGTGATAATACACATTAAAAGTGCACGAGATTAAATAAAATTCTTCGTGTACAATAATGTGAGCGTAATAAATGAGGTCTCATGAGAACAATACGTTAGGAGATACAGGTTGCAGTTTCCGCTCTCCGTCACTTGTCTCGTTACTTCAGTTGCATTACCCTAATATTATCGTAGCTATATGAAAGCATATGAAAAGAAAATACAATTATAATGAAATTAAATGAATAATATGAGTAAGGAATAGCCTAATATCAGCTAGGCTCCGCAATACCGTGTTGGGCTATTTGACTATACATGGGTTAATTACAACCGTAGAAATAAAAAAATGAACAGTTTGAAAATCAAATAAGTCCATTTATTTATAAAGTTAGCTTTATTTCAATCTACTAGCATGTGGTTCGTGGAAGGTAAATAGCCAATCGAATGGTGCGCTGTCGACTTATTTTGGCTTTGGGCATTCGAAAACAAAGGTTGAAACCGAAACATTTCACGGCTTTTCAACTGTGGAAAATGATGACCCGGAATTTTAATGTTCCTACCATATAATATCGAGATTTTAGTATTATTATGAATTTATTTTAGCAACATTAAAACCGGTTGGAATCAAACCCACAACCGTTCGTTACATTGTAGCAAATAGGCTGAATTACTGAAAGTTACATTGAAATTAGTAGAGCCATTTAAATTATAAGACCAATGAAGTAGAAATAACATTATTCTTGATATATTATAGGATAAAAATATTTTTTTACACAAACATGTTAGGTTAACTTACCTCTGATCGTGTGTAAAAATCCGCACATTGCTCCATCGGTACATACGACATTTTATACAGGTTTATAGTTGACCTACGGCAATCTGAAATTACAAATTAAATTCTGTCCTCACATCGTGGGGCATAGGGCGAATATATTTATTTACTCGCCCAGATAAAAGCGAAGAAGATTAAAGCGGGAGGTACACATTTAGCGGTTTTAAACGCGAAATATATTAGGTAACAAATTTTTTAATTTATTTTACAACACTGCGACATATTTGCTATTTGACCAAATATCAACTACGGCGAAACTGAAAACCCATCTTCAGACCCCCTGTGACCACGGCCGCTGCAAAGCATTCGAAACGTCAAGCCCTATTAAAAAGAAATTTAAAAAATCACGGTACCTAATACATATTGTGTTTCAAACCGTTAAAAGTGTTTTATTTAGATGAGAATTTTCGCACCAAATAAACTTAAAAAATGTAAATGGAGTTAGGTTGTTCTAAGGTATGCATTCTCGCGTGGCCGTTATAAAAATACCCGGAACGAATGCCGTAGTAAAGCACCGTAGTGGGCTTTGCATTTTAAGTTCACTGCGCTCTTGCAGTTGTTATGTTCTCGCTTGGCGCAAATAAATGCTGAATATTAAATATAAAAGAGTGCATATAAAAAAACGCTTTTAATGGTTTAAAACTTTTCGCATGTAAAACAGTTAAAAGTGTTTTATTTCAATGTGCTCTACTCGTATAAACTAAAGACAATGCTTAGAGTGCGCATAAAATATATAGGTTTATTATATACATACTTATATTCAGAACAAATAACCTAAAGTATTGGTAAACTTAGTTTTATAATATACTAGCTGTGTCAGAGACTTCATCCACGTAAAACAGTTAATCTTTTTAAGTTGAAGTTGCCCATGACATCGGTCGTGTCCCGTCGATCTTACAAGTTAATCTTAAAAGATAGATGTATAGTGCCCCGGTCATTTCTTTTAAACACAAATTTTGGGTATCTAGAACCATTTTTGGGCCGTTCGCATAGGAAACCTACAGAGATGAATAATTCCCGCTGTTCTTTTTCGCTCCTACAAGCGCCATGTTTTATAGCGTATAGCCTTCCTCAATAAATGTTCTAACCAACACAATAATAATTCTTCAATCCGAACCAGTAGTTCCTGAGATTAGCGAGTTTAATCTAACAAACAAACTCTTCAGCTTTTCATATTATAATAGTATAGAAGTAAGGATTGTATGTAATTAAATACTTGTTTCCACATGTAACGAGTACACATGAATATTCAGGAATAAAAGGCTAAAATGAAGCATACAAATAATAAAGCTTCATTAAAAATGATTAATTAGGTGATTAAACGCGCACAGTTTGTGCAAAATTAGGTGCGAAATTACCATTAGGGAGTGTCATGGCGTAGAACTGTGCATTATTGAACGCGGCCAGCGGCGCGCATATCGCTCGGAATCCTGAAATAAACGCATTATTTGCATTAAACGCTATATTATGTGCATTTTGCCAGCTTTATACTATATATCAGATTTCGTGTGCAGCGGGCAATATATGGGCATCTGAGTGTTTGTTTCTGTCTAATTGTAGTGTGGCTAATAATCATCCGGCCCCGTTCGATCCTCACCGCGGGCATCGTGTATAGTTTGGGAATCTAGATCACACATAAAAATCGTTCACAGATGAAAAATCCGTGAGTTAATTCGAATTTCATTATTAGTCTGTGGATTTCCAAATATCCATTGCCGAAAAAGGTCGACGGCGTATCTAAATATAAGTTCGAGGTTCTTTTGGAAAGTGAAATATCTAAACAATATGCGCTATCGATCTATTTTGGCTTTGGATATCCAAAAAGTGAATCCGAAACGCGGTTAAGCTGTAGACTATGGATTGTGACTCAAAGGAAATTTCGATATCCAAGTAATAAGTTTTTTTGGAGGCGGTCCAACTTATAAATAAATAAATAAATAAACATGTTGAATACATTGGGGAATGAACTCAAGATCCTACCGTTAGCAATAAATACATCGTTACCAAGACGTATTTTTATTTGTTCTAAACCTTGTTAGCAACTATTAATTAATAATAAAAAATAACGAAACGTGATGGGAATAGAATCCCCGAACCGTCAAATGCAAGTACTGAATACCTGCCATTCTAGGATGATATTCCAACTGTATCAGAGCTGGGGCACTCAAAGTGTTCTTGGGGTAATCTGGATGAAAGGAGTAGCTTCTAACCCGAACTGCTGCACCGCTGCAATTAGTTCCTATCGTTACGCGAGAATGAGCTCTGTAAAAAAAACAAATCTAGAAATGGCATAGAGATAAATATAATTATACACGCTATTCCATAGTTAAGAGCTATTTTATGTAAAAATAAATAGGATCAGGTAAAAAATTATCGGTTTGCTTGTATAATAAAAAAAATGAAAAGCCTTTTACTTGCTGTGGCACACAATAATAAAAAAAATTTAAGGATACTGTTAACAAACTTATATAACTACTTCAATTTTTACATTTAACAATTATTATATATACAAGCAAGGTAGCTCCTTATTTCCGATTGTTTATAAATTTGCTCCTAAAAAATTAACATATTTTTGGTTTATGTAGGGATAATAATTTATGACATATTATAGCATTTTTTTTAATTACCACACATTTATCAATAGGTTGAAAAAAAATCGACGATAACGTGTGGGACACGGTAGATCAATTAGTTAGAGCAACAAAACTGAACACTGTTCATACCGGTTCAAGTCCTGCCCCTGTCGTAATTTTATATCGATCCGTAATCGATTTTTAATTAGTGCAAAGATAAATTAAGTACTAATTTGGTTTAATATCGCATTAAGTAGTCATGCCAATAAAGTAAAGACAAGTGACAGGGCATTTATATGAAGCCATGACTACACGATCGAATGGTCGCTGTATTCAAAGACAATAGAGTGTACGTCACCTGAAATCGATCTTAGGCACTTTGTCTATGTCGATCGCCGGGCCGACAGCCATTTGTTTGGACACCAACACCACCACTGTCGACAACCATTTGTCACCTGCGAACGAGGACCTATCCGTGATTAGTGCATAAACATGGTCACTGAACAGGATAGCAATTCGAGGAACTATATTTTATGTATAATCAAATTTCATTTCTTAAGTTTAACATTTTAAACCAGGCTGTAGTTCAATTCAATTAAAAGTGGGTCACTAATAAATTTCACGTTTTAAACCGTTAAAAGTGTTTTATTAAAAGTCTTTTTAAGTATTTTTTTAAAATATAATATATGCGTTTAATAATAATGAAAAATAATTATAATCAACGTTCTCGTCGTTATTTTAGAAATGTAGTTAAATAATTAGTTAAACATCAATCCGAGTTTTAAACAAATAAAAAAATATCCGGGAGTGAATTGTATACTATGGTTCCGTACCGTTTACTCCGTTTTTCACCCACCTTAACAAAAATATCCCCCGTAGCCCAGCATTAATTTAAAGAATGTTAGCTTTCCGCCCTACTTACGTAGTGGATAGTTTAAAGTGCCAAGCCATGGATATGTCTGGATTTTCCCGAAGCCTTCGTAGACTACGGAAATAGGTGAATTGTCAATACCACATTGGGGCGTCTCTGCAGCCATCGATTTCTTCACAGGGAAAGTTACTGTGGTACATAGTTAGAAAATAATATATTAAATATTTAAAAAGTTAAACTATATTTTAGAAAATAAATTCTATTGGAGAGAGTTAGGGTTGAATAAGGAAATATCCTAGTAAAGGGGGAATGAGGAAATAGGTGAAATGGTTAGCAACAATTGACTGTCGCCTTCTATGGTTTTACCAATAGGAAAAAATAATAAAGATTTAATTTTTTTTAATCATACATATATACCAATAATAGTATAGTTAAAATTGATGTTTAAAACTTAAAAATTTTTTCTAATATTGTTAAAATATTGTCTAATTTGAACAATTAAAAAATTATTAAAATCTTACACGTATGTATACACTAACGTGGTTCAATAAACTTACATACAATTAATCTAAAAAGAACCATTAAAGCAACTAAAAGTTAATATTAGTATTTCAAACAGCATATAGCAGTCACTAGTGCTGTAATAACAATTTAATTTCGACCGAAGTTTGTATGATAATAAAATATTTTATCGACAATTACCGACCTCCGAAAACAGTTTCCATTGTTGCACAGATTATAAATACTTCCATAATAAATAACAATAGCCTGCTCTATTTTGGTCATGGAAATAACGTTGAATAGTAATTTTTACACATTGATAATAATGAAATGAAAACACATTCACGTCGGGGCGACTGGTCTGCACGTGTGAGAAATGTGTTGTTGTTTAAAATGTAAACTGTTTATATAGTGAATCGTAAATTAGTTTATCACTAGCTATATTTGCGACTTCGCCCGCGAAGAATAGTCTTTTAGGGCTACAAAATTTGTTATTGCAAAACCCCCCCCCTTATTTATATAAATTATAGCCATTACCCACGCCGTTCTTTGTTCATATTTACTTTTGCATTTGGTATCGAACCGTTTTCGCCGCGCACGCAAAGGAAACCCTCAAAGATGACTAATCTTCTCCGTTTTTTCCACATTTCATTCTTCAATTAGAAACAGTAGTTCCTGAGATTGGTGCTCGCAAACAAACAAACTATTCAACTTTATAATATTAGTATAGATGATTGCTTTTGTTACTACTGTAAGAACAATGCTTATTTAGTTCGAAGACGCAATTTCTTCTCTCTGTTCTTATTTTATTTCTGTTTAACTCATACAGACAAGGTATAAAGCCTTGTATGTACTTGTCTTGTCTTGTATTATATGTGTATAAAAGTTTTAAAATGTTTTCAAAACTTGTTTGAAATCCTTCGTCAGTACTTCTCTCTGTTTTCTAGTTTTAACATTTTTCACTTTTCTCGAAACCGAGACTCGCGATCTTTATCTCTCTTTCACGTAGATATTTCTATGAGGAGAGGGAAAATGGAAAGATCGTATCTTTCGGCAGAGTCCAGCTGCAATGAAGCATATTCTGTGGGAATCAATGTCGAGAGGAAAGTAGTTTCCTTGTAGAAATGTCGTTAGCGTGAACTATCGACAGAAAGCTTTCAACACGCTAATGACCCAGGGTTGTCACTCGTCGCTGAAGTGATTTCTTCTATTTTCTATAACCAGAACAATCTATTTATCCACGTTATTTAGGCTTAGTAATAAAATACTATTTTATATTTAATTAACAACGGTATTACGCATTACTCAAGTAATTCGATACACAGTAGGACACCACATGTTAATTCTGTATGGATCAAGCTAGATTCTACAATTATACAAAGACGAAGATATAGATGACGTCACAAACTTTAACTTTATGCATGGCAACTAGTTATTGTTACCCCCATGACCACATTTGCTGCAAGCAAACGAATTATTGGACAAGTTACAAGATAATATTGCGCGTATTTAAATCGTTAAATGTATCTTTTTTTGGGTTGTATATTTAATGTGTGTCTACAATTCAATAAAAATAAATAATTTTTCTTCTTGTCTTAGGAACTACTTTTTCGAAATAACTATTCTACGTGGAGAAAGTCGCTGTTACAGCTAGTTGTATTCATAAATTAGGAGTCACGGCGCGGACTGGCCAACTTTTTTCGTGGAAATAGAATAGCGTTAAGAAACCTTGAAATAATGGAATTTCATGTGACAGCCCTGCGTCAGTTAGCTTCGTTAACCGATCGCGACAGTTGGGCAGGAACCACTTCTCCATCTTGTTATACAATACTTTGACTCGTACTTTTCATGCCATTCCAATCATTTTACTGAATCTCTCTTCAGGCACCGCGTTTAACATTTCACGTAATTTATTCTCAATCCTAACATGTGCTTAGACTACTACTTACTATCGATAGTACTTTAAAATTATTAATCATTCGGAGATCATTACTATTCTCATTATTAGCATTCCAATTTTATTCAGGCAATCATAAACTAATTTCTATTTATACTTATAAAGCTAAAGAGTTTGTTTGAACGCGTTTATCTCAAAAACTACTGGTTTGAATTGAAAAAATCTCTTTGTGTTAGTAAGTGCATTTATCGAGAAAGGCTATAAAACATAGCGCTGTGTCTAATAGGAGCGAAGAAACAGCGGGAAATGTGGAAAAAACGGGGAATTCTTCAATACAAACCAGTAGTTCCTGAGATTAGCCCGTTCAAATAAAAGAACTCTTCAGCTTCATATACTTGTATAGATACTATTACTCTTGTTTCTAGTAAGAATACGAAGTATTAAAGTGAGTCGTGTTGAATGCACAATGCGAAAGTGCGCTGAGAAGAAACACATGTTAGGAAATAACTTACGTGTGTTCAAACTCAATTCTTCGATCATATTCAAACTAGCTTTATATTCAGAGCGTCTTTGAAAATCTAGCGCAAGTCTTGAATTTATAATGGCTTAAAAATGTTCCCTATAAAATAGAAAAATGACAAATAAAAGCATAATCACGCGTCTACTTCTACCAAGCAGAGTATAGCTAATAATAATCAATGGGTGGTTGGGTCGATTCCAATGTTTCAATAGTAATTTATAAATTTAAGGAAGACTGAATAAAATTGAATATAAAATCCCGTCCTGATTACAACCCACCGCCACGAACGGACAAGGAGTGGTCTGCATTTCGGTTGCTCTCTGTAGATTCCCGAATATCGTAAGTCCAAATTAGCTGACAGCGAGCGCATTTAAGGCAGTCAATCTATAGTAAGTGCTACTTTGCTACAACACTCTTACCTCACATCACTCCCACTCCCAATCCCACTCCTTTTCCCAAAAAGCCAAAGAAGAAAGTTTCATTGTTCTATCTTCAAAAACCACGAATTTCATTTTAATTTTCCCCCCTTTTAAGACAGACAGACGGAGTTACTTTCGCATTTATAATATTAAGTAAGGATACCTTTTGGAGGGACAAAAGGTATCCTTACTTAGCCTTAGTTTTGTTAAAAATTTTAAAACCACAACACAACTTAATAACAACTGTAACAATATAATATTATCCTCAGGAAGTGTATAAGTGTACTATTTATACTAATAATAACTAATATTTGTCGTAATATTGTCGCGAGTTTGCGGTTTGGCAAAGCTATTTGTTTACGCCTAAGTTAAGTCTTTAATTTGGTAATTTCAATACTGGAGTGATGACAAAATGGCAATAAAAAGTTTAAATTTGAATTTATTTACATTGCCTTCAAGTAAGAAATGATTTTTGTAAGGAAATTTTATAGCGAAATGGATAAACAAAAAGATGAAATTATGCAAATGGAGTAGTCAACGCTATCCTTCATCGCTGCGGCTTCAAGGAGAGTTAATAATCTCACCAGTGCTGTCCCTTTTACTATACGGTAATCGATAAAAACTCTCCCTTATTCTGTTAGTGTTAAATCATTAAAACGTAAAGTACGACGGAAGTAAGTAAGAATCAAAAAACTCGAAGACATGTGCATTTTTGAAAATCTTTATCAAATTAAAGTTTGAAAAAGTGAGGCTCATATTTTCACAGACATATTTAATACTTAATAATTTATTTTAACCAGAGAAATGATGTAATTTCACAGTGACATACTTGATACTCGTTCAATATAAAAGTATCGATAAAGAGAACATCTCTATGACTTCCCTATAGCTTAGAAGATATCCAGTTTCGCTTAAAACAAAAACAATTACCAAGCAAAAATGTTGACGAGATAAGAAAGTCCTTATCCGGTATTACATGATATCTTAATGACTATCGGATTATAAACACAATATAAAAAATTGCGGGTTTTTTTACTAAGAAACGGATTACGACTAATCGGATTTTCAAATATTAATAAAAATGTTACAAGGAAGCACCCTAGGACGGCTGAAAATGACCGATGGATGGATTCGTTTAAAATTCTCATTCTCTTTTGATAGACATTACAAAAATAGCTTCACTTAATGTTAGATATTAGATACCTTCAAATAAATCTTTTAATATTAGACTGTTGATAAGATTATGAGACTTTTGTTTTGTAAAAAAAGAGATATCTGCTCTCTTGACTGTACTTGTACTTGACTGCCGTAACGTATACTACTCGTCAATTTAAGTAAAAAATGCTTTTAAATAAAACACTTAATGGTTTAAAACGCGATATATTAGTTAAACTTATTTGAAAATGATTTTTAACTTCGGCCCGACGTTAAAAATAATTTTCAAATAAGTTTAACTAAAATATATCGTTTTAAACCGTTAAAGTGTTTTATTTAAATGTGTACTACTCGCGTAAACTACAGACAGTATTTAAAAAATGCTTCTAAAGTTAAAAAAATATAAGAGATTTTTTTTAAATTAAGTGCTTAAAGAATATCAAATAACAAAGCCGTATTTTGTTTTTAAAAACGATGATATTTTTTTTGTCTGACGACATAACCAGTTCGCTGTTGTACCTTGTAACTTGTAGTTTAGCTGTGAGGCTAAAAATACCCAACTGATACTACAACGCAATTACTTGAGAATTAGATCCTAAAAGGCCAGCTAATGGGCAAAGTTCTCGCATACAAACACGCGCATAGGTACTGGAGCTAAGTTGATCGTTCCGATGCAAATACCCGCATCCTTGCCGCATTATATTGGTCCTCATGAAATTGCTCAACTTTGCTCAGGTCTATAGCACGAGCGAAAGTAAGCGATATGTAAGTTGAGCAAGACTAGTTTTAGATCTCAAACATTAGCAGCAAGCTTTTTTTAAGTTAATAATCCATTATTCGTTGTATTTCTACTTGTGGACGGCATGGATGAGGTGATGTGATATCACAGGTATCCAACACTTTTTCAACATCTAGTTTTAATTTGTTTTGTATCGTACGTAACAGTAGTTTTGGTACTATATAATTCGTTTTGTTTTTGATTCTTTTCGTGAAATTTAAATTAAAAAAAAATGATAAAAAAAAGGATTAGCCTTTGCGATATTTCAATACTCGCGATAAGCTCGTCACTTGCACAGTGCTGAGACATCGTTTCCACCAGTATTATGATTTTGCTGGCATACGCTTATTGAGCGGTCCTGTATCTCCGCTGAATGCACTTTTCTGTTCTGGGTATGGTCAGCAAAACCAGTTCGAAATTATCATAATACCATAAGGGACATTGTTAATATTTAA